TACATAAATTGTTTGGGGGGGGGGGTCGGGCATATTAAAGCGGGTCCAACATTATTTAATATTGGGGGGGGGGTGGGGGGTTTGATATTAGGGGGAGGGCAGCGAATCAAACCGAGACCAAAAGCTAGGCCGGGGGAGGTGACAACGATGTGTTTTTGTTACTATCTGCCCTGGCAGGTCCCGTATGCTGCAGTTGGGGCGTCAAGGACAGAGGCTCAACCGCAAAGGAGTGTCCAACACAAGGGGCAATGCTTATTGAAGATATGGCAGTTCCTGCATCCGGGTAGGTGGTCATACGGTCAACACCTGTAAATTCTGCATGACTTTCCTTGACCAGCATACCATGCGTCCCATGATAAATTTGAGGTAGTTGGGGTCATGCGGACCTTTAGTATCAGCAACCACTGCATTGCTGCGAAGCTTGCGCTGTGGGCGATGCTTCTTTCTGAAGCGAAAGCCGGGAAAGATGGGGGCAACCTGGTGCTCAGACCCTGATCCGTACATCTAAGACGCACAAATCGATGGAATCTTAAGCGTATTACCCCAAACCCTTCGTCATTGCCAGCGTAGGGTGCTTAATCCATCAGCTTGCTGTGTTACATGTTGATCCACAAATCCGCGTAGGGCTCCATGACTTTCATGGAGAAGGCAAGTATGGGTTCAAACATGGAGAAGTCGCACTCGATAGTGGCCTCATGTGCTGTTTGGTGCCTGTGACACCCCAAAAGGGTTGTGCTGCTCCCCAGAACAGCGGGACTGACTAGATCACATGATGTGCCAGGGCACAGCAGTGAAGTTCACAATTACTGCATTCAAGTGTGCATTCCACTTGAAGCTAGCCAGGCCTTCCAACAGATGTGACTTTCGATGCACTTGAGGCCAGACTTCCAAGCTTACGGAGGCAACCGTCATGTAATACTCCTGAAGAGGTTTTGAAGTTTGTCCCGCTAGTTGGGCCCCTGCATGAGAGAAGTCCATGTGAGTGCATGCCTCAAGTGAAGCAACCGTTCAACAAGAAAAGGCAGAAGCATGCCACAGCAATACAAGCAGCAACAAGTTTGGACTGGTGACTTTATCCGGAGTGACAATGATGAAAATATCATAGTAGCATGATGACAGAGTGGCGGTCTCTTGGAAAGATGGATGGCAGCCCATCTAAGGATCCTTTCTCAGATCCACCAACTGGCAGAGCCGATGAAAAGGCTCCAAGATTCATGGGGGTGAGTATGACCACTGCTTTTGAATCAATTTTAGGGGCAAAGAGGGCGAGCTGCTAGGCCGCCCCGCGATTTGGTGCCTCGATTCTTCGAGCGCTTCGTGGCTTGGCGATCAAGACACCGGATACCACAGCACCTATTGGCGGACTAGGCATTCGAAGGTTGCTGAGAGGTCCATTCCGCTTGGAAAATGTACGTGCATGAAGATAAACAGCACGCTGCCACTTCTCCAATTCCCAAACTATTGATTCTGAGGAGAACGAGACCTCGCGTGCAGCTTTTGAAGAAGGAGCCTTTGCCCCAGGAACTGGCTTCTGCCTCGAGAATTTTAAGCCCCTGCAAGGAAGCACGTAGTCGAGCATGAAAACTCAGAACATCAGAAAGCCAAGGATGTCTACGTACGGTGGATACTGAAATTCCTGCATGCGCCCAAGTACCCTATGACTTAGGAATTATGGCTTACGACTGCCATAGTGCCCAAAAACTATACATACAAGGGTTAGGCTGGATTTTAAGTATTAACAGTAGGATAGGGGAATTCCTGGGACCTAGGCTGCGAATAGCCAGTGTGAACTTTAGCTCGCGTGGAAGGGCTTCTTGGCCGGGATGGGCAAGCTTGTCAAACATCTTGGGGGCATGAGTCCGTGATTTGCGCAACAGCTTGTAGCACCAAAAGGAGGAGAGTACTTGAACAAGCTCAGCAATTGCACGGCAGCGATGATCTCCTAAGATCGCAATTGCAACTGCAGTGCAAAAAGCAACGGCCCCCTGGAGCCCAGCATAGCATCTCAAGCTTCAGGTTGATCAGGGCAAACGCCAGAGATTGAGAGAAGTATTATTGGGCCGTTGGTATGAACCTTTACATGTTTTACGTTCTGAGAAGCATGTGATCCCCAACTTGGGGTTTACACCGTTCACACCTCAGCTTCAGGTGAACCACTTTACCCAGAACATCATCCAAAGGGCCGTGGTGAAGAAGGAGGCCAGAGAGTGGGTGTACCGCTTGCTATTAAACTCCTGCCGCAGAAAGAGTCGCGTTCGAATCATCCTACATGGATATGTGGTGCCTTATTTTCCCTTTTTTCTTCGCGGGCTGAGCCTCTTAGCAGGGACAGTGGGGCAGTGCGTAGCTCGTGACGACTGATCAAAGTGTGTCGGCAGGAGAGCAGTCTGACAGGTTGTTTGCTTGGAACGCTCATGGGCTAGCTTTCCGAGCTGAGTCTGTGCAAAAGAGCTTTGACAGCAAATCTCTCCAACCCAGGAAACTTGCAGCCTTCCTAAGAATGCAGGAAGGTGTTTGGAATCCGTGTACGTAGAGAGCTGGGGTCGAAGACTCCGCTTCTGTTCATTGCGCTACAGCCCCGCTGCGGACCTTCCAAACAATATCAATCTGCAAGTTCTTGTGTCCAGGTTCCTGAATGTGTAAGTCTCAGGGTTCTGCTGCGGGTTTAGGATTGCAGGACTTTGCAGGACTTGAATATTAATGGGTGCCGTTAGAGCGTGGGTCCCATCGCAGGGGCTGCAAATCCCTAAGCAGAAGCTGTCTCTAAGTATTCGCACAAGATCAAGCGGAGAACAGCCCTTCTCTGATTCCTGGGAAGAAGCCACCTTACACTTGCAGTCTTTTGTAATTGCGATTTCCCAGTACACTGGTGTTCGTAGTCTCTATATGCACTAAATCGTTAAATCCCCATGCAAACTGCAAATCCCATGAGTAGAAGCCATGCGGCAGGAGGAGGCAGCGGCCAAGCAGAAGGCCGAAGCCGAAACTGAAGGGCTGGAGGCACCGTCCAAAGTGAAAGCACTGGATCTCCGGCATGGGCTTGGTTTTTCAAGGTTTCATCGTTAGGGCTTTGGGGTTAAGGCTTGAGGACTTTAGGGCTTCTCAAAAACCGTAAATCGACCATGAATGTAGCGAATTTTACATTTTAGTTTTTAGCCCCAGGCCCCGAACTTAAATGCAAAGCCCACTCTCATAAACCTTGTTCCTTGCTTTGCCAAAGCGCAAGTGGAAGTCTCAAATCCCCAAAGCCTACATCCATCCGACATACCGACCTATGCATCCAAAATATGCTGCACCACTCCGCTGGCCTAGAAACCTCCAAGTAGGTCCAAGCACAGCCTGAATTCCTAAAACTTCCTTCAACCTCCGGCCCCCAATCCCTCAGCCCGTATGAGCCGTAAGCCCAGAAATGCTGTACACTTAGGGCCTAAAGGCCTAAACCTCAGCGTCCGAACCGAAACCCTCCATTACAGTTCCAGGCCAAGCCTCTAGTCGAGGCGATGTACGATATGCCCAAGGCCTGTTGGGTGCTTGGAGCTTCAGGGTTCGGTGAAATGGGTTCTGGGTTCACAAAGGGTTGGGTTGAGGTTTGGGGCTCGAAGTTTGGGCTGTGACTGTGAGGGTTTAGGCATCGTATGTTGTTCAGGGGTAGTTATAAGTTTTGGGGCTTAAGAATAGGACGTGATGCTTTGACAGATGTGCCTGCCTCAGACGGAGACCGTTGCCTCAAAAAGGATCAGGGTCCTCGTGGCCAGCTGAACCCAGCTGTCAAGAGTCGCCTATCGGCGCGCTTCTACCTTTCCACAACCTCTAGATATTTGCAGAGCCTGACTGAATTCAGCAGGCCCTACGACGCCCAAGCTCGCCAATCAGTAGTCGCTCTTTCGCTCAATGTATCAAGGATGACTTCACAATGCAAAATCCTCATCACATTCAAGGAACTCCCTGGAATCCCTGATCCCCACCCATGCTCTAACTTTAATCCAAACTTCCAACTCTCAGCGCTTCAGTCGCAGCGCAGGAGGATCGTCTGGGCCCGGGAGGCCTGGATCCCGTGGAGGTGTTTGGGGAGCTCCCCGAGGTCCTGCAGCGCTGCTTCAAAGAAGGCGAATTCTGATATGTCACATCTTTGGGGCTTGAGGGTTCACCAGCTTTGTGAAATGCAACGTCTTGAGGAGTATGAACGGGATAGCTGAGCATCAAATGAGGACCTGAGACTTCTCCATTTAGGGTTGAGCCGCCGAGGACACCGCATAGACATCCCAAAAAAAGAAGTATGGCAATGGCTCTTCCTTGCACGTAATTAGGCAAGAATCAAAATTGAAAAGCGTTATTGCCTAAAATCAATTGCTGCGCAGTCTCTTTGTTCCTGTGTCTGTAGCTAATGCAAAAAGAAGCTCCAGAAACGATCCCTTCATGTCCCAAACCCCAGACTTTATTTAGCCTCTTTGAACACTAGGCTGATTTGTAAGCAACCGAATTCAGGCGACGTGGAGCTGCTAAAGCAAGTGGCTCAAGAGATGCCGGAGGAGGTCTGTTTTGGGGCTTGGGGCTTATCAGCAGTGTTGGGACGCGTTTAGGTATTTGGCATGCCTCCCTGCCCAGGGCATCATTGACTTTTGGAGGATAATGGTACTTGTGCTTTGTTACTACTGTTAGCACTGTGACAACTGTTATAATTATTGCTCCTCTATTACTACTGCTGCTGCTACAACTGCTGCTACTACTTCTTGTTCTAGCTCTAGTTGTAGTAGTTGTTGTAGAAATTCTGGTTACTATGCTAGAAGTCGCCGCAGTATATGTAGCCGCAGCAGTGGTGAGCACTGCCACCACCAACAGCAACTACTGCTGCCACTCCTTCATCTTTTTCTTCGACTGCTACTCCTGTTGTTGAGACCAAACATCCTGCATGACATTAGTATTCTACAGTACAAAAAATTCCAAGGTATCAGGTACTTAGGGTGATGCAGCATTTCTACTTTCCACCTTACCACCACAGCTGCTGCTGCTGTTGTTGTTGCTGCTGCCGCCGCTGCCACTCGACGGCTCGTACTGCCATTAGTACTTTTGCTGCTGTTTTGCGGTAACTGTTGCGCTGCTACTATTGTTTTTGCCATGGCTTTTAGTTTACGATGACTTCTGCTATTGCTCTCAATCAGTTCCTCTTCACTCTTGCCGCCGCCGCCAGCCACCGCCACCACCGCCACCACCGCCACCACGGTCACCGTCACCGCCGCCACCGCTTCCGCCACCACCCCCGCCACCACCACCGCCGCCACCACCGCCGCCGCCGCCACCCCCACCACCGCCACCACCAAGATGGCTACCCGTCGTAGTAGTAGTAGTAGTAGTAGTAGACGACTACTCCTCTCCTACTAGTACGGTACTAGTCCTACTAGTACCAGTATTTCTACCAGTATTAATCTGCCCATTACTTTCAGCGGCGTTAATTTTGATTACTGCTATTGATTTGTCGGTGCTACTGCCACAACTAGTATTGTTGTTGCTGTTGTTACGCTTTGTACAGTTTTTGTTTAACTCCTCTATGTTGTAATGATACAACTATTTCCACCATGCTTCAGGAGTTCGAGATGCATTTCCAGAGATGTATCGATTCGGGCCTTTGGCGTCCGGGCTGATGTGCAGCTTCTTCCTTGCCCCGGTGAGGGGGGAGAAGACGAGCCACTGCTCACGTGTGCCAGTTTCCGACTCCATGGTCCTTGCTTGGGGCCATAGGATTAGGAGTGGTTGTGAAGTTGTGTAGGGTATAATCAATCGCTTATCGAGCTTGTACAAAAGCCCGGCGTCACTCGTGGTTGGCTGCTTAAGACCATGTGGGGCTCACCTGTGATGTCATGACGGCTTCCAGCCTCAAATGGTGGGCTGAGTCGATGCGCCAGACGAGCGCCCAAAAACGAAGCAAGCAAAGCATGACAACAGCGAGGACATTACCTCGCATGACGGTAAGCAGTGTAGTGCGAAGAAGAAGGGTCAGAGATTGTGATCGTGGTGAGATTTGACATGCCCAACTTGGGTGCTAAATCGTTTGTTATGGGCTGGGCCACAACAGAGATTCTGGCCTGCTGGGTGCAATGCCCCTCTCCCAGGACAGACCACCTAGAAAGGCTCAGACAACAAACGCAGTGAAAATGAAAGTGCCTGGCAGCAATCTCTTGCTTTTGGATATCAGGCGGGGCCGTCTTCTCTTGGCTCTCCTTGCAGCAGTGCAACAGCCATGGAGCCCCCGGCAAAACGTGCCTGCACTCTGCCAACACTGCGTGGCACTGCAACGGCAGCTGTCCATGCCGACACTTTGGCAGTGGAGGAAGAGTTGATCCCGGAGTGGGTATTCTCAACGGCAGAGGACATCCACGGGGATGATTGATTGCCTCACGCAAGCCAACAATAGCAGCCTGGCTTGTTTCCACCTTTTCCTGCCCCGGCTAGGGCACAAGCTGAAACCCTTGTGAAGGACGTTGCGCCACCACTGAGCGTCAGCACGACCTTCACGGCGTCCACGAGTGGCCAGGGCCACGTCGAGTGCTGAGAGGGCTGTGCGCACCTTCTGCTCCTTCATGGTATGCAGGATTGGATACAAACGGTAGAGTTTGTGAAGGGCTTTCAAAAAAGGGTCTTAAAATGTGGGAGCACGTGGGATTGCGCCTTGTGCCCCTTACTGTGCCAGCTTCAGTCGGCCAGTCGGCCTTGCCAGCCTGAGGCCCATGCCCTAATGGATACAACACCTAAGCAGCCCAGATCTACAGCCGCATCTCTGCTCCAACTCGGTGTCGCTGCGAGACGCTTTTGGGCAGTGTGGAGGGCACGGAGGACACGGCACGCAGGCTTCCAGCATGTGTAAGATCACATCATCATGCACTTGGAGAGTTTTGCCACTTCTAAGGCCTCCGATATCATGGCTTTTCACTGCCACCCGTTTGGGTTGACAGGACAAGCCGGCCCATGCAGTGCTATATAGCTCGGGCCTTGCTGCAGCCTTTGCACTGTTTCTTGGCAAGTCAGAGTGTTTAGCTGATGGAGGCTCGGACTTAACTAGCAAGCATCTGGGTGACATGGTGTGAAGGCAGTGTTTTGAGGTTTGACAGGAATTGTAGATGATCACTTTCTCCCGTAGCTGGAGGCCTGAGCTCAACATCTCAATGGTGTACATGCTGACCGCGATAGCTCTGTTTACCAAAGTTACTGCGCCAATCCAGTCCTTAGACTGTTTCTTGTTGATGTTGTCTCCTTCCTCGCGCAGGAGGGAACAAAAACAGTCTATAACGTAAGCCGGCTAACTAACAAGCGATATTGTAGCCCGTACTGTATATGGAAGTCAAAATCAGGAGATTGATCGCTCGCGAGGCGTTCGTGTTAGAACTTGGTTCCCCGGGCTCACAATCCATGTCAGTCAGCAAAGCCAAAACAGGCATTGCTGTAGGGATGTGTTGCAAGGCAAGAGATGTGGCAGGCGTCTATGAGGGTGTTTCCACGGGTGCCCCTCCATGTTCCATCTACTGGGAGCACAGTCTAGTCTAAGTTCAGAAGTCCATATGATGTAGGCCTGCCGTCTCCGCCCAGGTTTGCTCATTTCCTGCCCACGCGCGTCTTCATATCAGGAGGATACCATGGGACACACCAGGCCATGACCCTGTCAGCTGCTGCAGAACTCATCAGTGCCGCAACTGCCACGACCACTACGACTCCTTCAGATATGATTAAACGAGCAGCTGACGGCGCCACTGCTACTCTACTGCTCTGCTGTCGCTGCTGCCGCAGCTACTGCTGAAAAATAAGACTCTCACGTTTCTTTGGTTCTTGTACTTCTGCTTCCAATTCGTGCAGTTCTGTTCGAGAAAAACGAGAAAATCGGACAACTGGACGGCAGACATGTAACAAGCTCTCAGATTTGGACAAGGCAAGACGACTAAGCGTTCAACATCTTCCTGATTGACTGCAACTACTGGTTCCCTGCCCACAACAATGCAGGATAGCTCTCTATACAGTCTGGATTGTGTTGCTATCATTCGTGCGGCCCTGGTAAACATGCCCATTGGGCTTCTTGCTTTTCTTGTGCCCTTACTATTGCTACCTGTCTGGTGTCCTGCTGCTGCAGAATTTCGCAAAGCCAGAATCCAAGCCCCAAAATTCGCAACTCCATTTTCATACCTCTAAATCCGAAATCCCTAAGCCTGAGCCCCAAGCTGGTATGGAGATTGTCGGCAGAATCGGCAGAGTCGAAGCATATTGAGCTATGATTCCTGGCTTGCTGCACATGCTGAGATCTCGGGATGCTACCGTGCGAGAGTGATGCGTGTGTTGAAGCCCCACGTGAGTTGAACGCCTCTGAAAATACATCGAGCGTCAAAAACCAAACATGCGCAACCCTAAGCTTTGAACCCAGTAATTATCCACTGCCATGGCAGCATGGCAGGTGTTGGGCCAGCTTCAAAAGATCTCCGGCGGTAGCCGCTGCAAGTCTGAGCCGCTGCGGAGTCCCGACGAGACACCCGGCACAGTGGAGACTGCCTGGTAGAGGTTGAATATGGTTCACAGACTTGGAGGTTTGGGGTTTACGTTAGGGAGGTTTGGGCGGTTGGGTTCCAGGTGTTTGAGACTGATGTGTGAAGCTGTGAGAGTGTGGGTGGGAATAGGCTCGGTAGTCTCATGCTGGGGTAGGTGGGCTTATGGCCAGCGCAAGCCACAAACCCTCGGTATGCGTCAACCCATTCTTGTCGAAGGTTGTATCTTGTGAAAGTGACGCTTGCGTTGTTGCAAGCTTTCTGCTTCTTTGTTTCCCGAACAGGATTCATAGGTTTGACAAGAACCGACGTACTTGCACTCTTTTGCATTGGCTGCGGCTGGTATTCTGTCTTCGATGTGAGCATCAGCATTTTCATTCCGATGCTAAGAAATGACTGCCATCGTTCGTCATGCGAGAATTACTACTGCTTCTCTGGCCGGAGTCTAGCCTACTCTTGACTTCGGGGGTCAGTTTTGGCTTCCTAGCAGCCTCCACAGATTTGTTAAAGGGCTTTTGCATAGAGGCCCGTTTAGACATATTGCAGTCATCAGCGGTGTGGATTCCAAACTGCTGGGCTAGCCAGAAATTGATAAGTGCTTACAGTGAGATACAGTGAGGCTGAAGGCTTGCTTGAAGTCTGGCGACCTGATCTGGCTTGAGACGCCGCTGAACCCATCTTGCGACGTGACGGACATCAAGGCAGGCTGTGCATTCCCCGCATCATCTTGCGTGTGAGTCAGCAATGTGGCAGCTCAAATTCAACTGCAGCTGCTGCCATCTGTGCCCCGCAGAATACGAAGCGAGGGTGCCTCAAACGCAAGCCTTCCGCTCTCGCTTCCTTTGCATAGCTCAGCAAACTTGTAGTGCAAAGCATGCTTGGCATTCGATGGTCACAGAGATTCTTTTGTTTGCGCAAGAAGGCCTACGTGGCGGCAGCCAAAATTTGTTCTGGTGTCCACGTGGCGGTGGATGGTACGACCCTTCAGCCGCATTGTGGAGTTTAAAGTCTGAGTCTGCTCTCTAGTTATCTAGTTGCTTTCCCAATCAGAACAGCAATCGCATTTGGCATCATCGCCGCCAATTCCAGACTTCGTTGAGGGTTTGCCTGGGAAACACAACCATCCAGGTTTGCGCCACCCCCGCTCCAGCGGCCGCTGGCGTTGGGTGCTGATGCGGTGATGCACGCCACCACCAAATCCCTGGCTGGGCATTCCGATGCGCTGGGAGGCGCCGTTTGCGTGGCCAGCGCGGAAGCTGCGGAGCAGCTGAGAAAAGATCGTCTGGCGCTAGGCTCTACGCCAGGAAGCCTGGAGGTCTCCTTGATGCGTTTGCTAGGTGGGGAGCTCCAGAAGGGATTTGCGTAGATTTCTCTTCTTGGGAACTGCAAGGGTGCTCAGCTGGACCGAGGTTTGGCTTCTCATGAGGTCTCTGCGCACCCTCCATCTGCGAGTGCGGCAGCAGTCGACCACTGCATCTCTCCTTGCCGAGTGGTTGCAAAGCGCGAAAACCGCTTCTTGGAATGCTACCATCTATTTAATTCACGTCACGCAGTCTTTGTTGCACTTGGACATTTGTGACATTGTCTTCATGCTGCAGACAGGCCACGGATCTGCCTCACCCTTCCCACACGTGAACACAGTCTGCTGGCATTTGGGGTTGAAAGAAGAAGTCCCCTTGATGACTGCCTGGTGCCACACAAAGGACACTTCCCATGTGACTCGGCAGAAGATAGCGGATAAGGATGCATAGTTCAGATCAGAGCCTTGGAGCACCGAGCTTTTGCAGCTTGTGGCCTTTCTACGATGCTGCAAGCAGCGTTGAATCTAAGGCGCTCTTTGGGCTCATCCATGCGGTCCACCATCCTTCGCTGAAGTCGCATGCCAACCATGCTGTGGCAGTAGCACTTTGGCGGAGACATAGCTCTGGAATTTCCTGCCCGAGAAGATGGCGAAAATCATATCTTTGTAAGCAAGGCCTTTAAGAGGCTAAGAAGGGTCTTCTGTTCCGGAGAAATCTCCACGCTTGCGCAGTGCCGGTTCCCCCCGGATTTTCGTGCACGCTTGTGGATTCTCCCTCTGTCTCTCCCTCCCTCCCAAACTCGCGTAAGCAAGGCAGGCGCTCCCTTGAAGAGGCTCGCACGAGCCGTTCTCTCGCAGCACGTCTCACAACGCATGTTTCCTGTGCGGGGTTGATGCTGTATTATGGTTCTGGGTGGCCTTCTGGGTGTGGCTATTGAGCTAGTGGAGGACTCCCTGTGGCTCTTACCTTAACCCGAAACCCTTTCAATGCTCCAGTTAGTCAAGATAAAACCTTGTAGCTGCAAAACCAATCCCTGTTAGTATTGGCGCCCCGAGGAGCAGATGCCCGGTGGCTTTGGAGGCTGCTTCGCGCTGGAGCTTTGCCTGAACTGAAGTGTTTTTTTGTTGGGGCTTAGAGTTTCGGGGGCCATGTTTAAGGCGCAGAGTCCCAAGTTAAGGGGCTGGTGCAAGATGCGTGGTTTAGGCTTGGGGGTAGCTGTTTGGAGGGTCTAGGTGGAAGCTGGCCGATAAACTGGGGATCGAAACCGTCAATGGCGAGAACCATCTCTCCGGCTTCCGGGTTTCCAAGCACAGAGGGCTTATCTTTTGGATACATTCTTGGGATCCTTGGCTTTGGAAACTACTGAGAAAGGATGATTGGACCACGTGCAGCTTCCAATTTTGGATCGCTTTATTCAAGCTTCAGGGTCCTCTTAAGTAGTTTGCCGAATACTTCCAGCACAGTTCAGCACGGATACATGTGACGTGCAGGCCAAGACTAGAGGCTGACAGTTGTGAATGGGATGATACACGGCCAACTGCCAAGTTTATGCCACACGGCGAGCCTTTTGGAGAGATCCTTGCAATCCTGTCTCTTCAAGGCTATCATAGCACAGCCTCAAACTGCAGCCCTCCGGAAGTCAACTGGAAAGCGTAGCCTGAGTGTAAAAGAGTGCCATGGTGAAGCAGACCCCAGTTCACCCCCTCTCCCCCCACACAGTCTGAAAGCCATGAGAGTAAGTGTACTGCTGGCAATTGAGCCCACCCAGGCCTAAAGCACTGCGATGGGCAGGTTGAAGCCTGAGACCCTAAGCCCTGCATCCTAAACCTGAGCCCCAAATCCTAAAGCCGGCTTCCTAAGCCCTTAGGACCTAAACCCTGAATCAGAGACCCTGAACCCCATTTCAATCAACTGAGAGGAGTTGACCACAGAAGCCGCCGCAAAGGCATTGCCTGGAGCTTTGAGCCTGGTCTGGGTTGAGGGCTGCAGGTCTGCGTTTTAGGGCTTGGGATTGCAAGCACTTATTTAGATGTCCAAGAGAAAATCGAACCTACGTTGTAACTACATATTGCTACAGGTGGAACAGAACATGCAAACCACGATGTGATGTATGGTGTAGGATTTGGGTTCGGGATTTGGGCCTAGTAAGGATCCACCATGTCGTGGCCAATTCCAGAGACGGCATGATCTCAGTGAGAACTGGGCAAGATATACGACAGAATGTCTGACGCAACACCCATGAATTACCCAAAACAGTACGCTATCCCGACAGGAATCCTAACACCACAAGCTTGGTATGGAATTGCTCAAGGAGTGCCAGACAATCCCACCAGTAGAGGGGATGGCTGAACAATACTGGAAAGGCTGAAAGCCCGTGTTTAGCTGCAAGCGCTTTGAGACCGCAGTAAATTTGACCAGGTAGAAGGCACCGATGTTTGTTATATGCGCTGCCTTCACAAGTGCCAAATCATGGGTTCCAAAGAACCCATTGAGTGCCCCATCCCGACAAAATTGAGCTTACAGAGGGAAGACAGGCCAAGTCCCAGAAGAGGCAAACATCAGAACGCCCATCGCCCACATAACCATGGTGAGCTTTGCATGAGGTCCTGGAGAACTGGGTCTATCATCTGCTGACAAAAAAACCTATAAACTTGCAATCTCGTGGTTCTAGGGGGGTCTACAGGAACCAGAATGCGCAATAATGCTGGGAATCCATGTCGTTTGCCCAGGAAACTCTTTGGGAGCGCCACGTCTTTGGGCGGTGTTGCCGCTTGGCCGCAGACGAATACTCTTCTTGCTGCTGCTGCTGCTGCTGCTGCTGCTGCTGCGGCGCACTCTATGGATCACGTCTGTGATGAACAAGATGTATGAAGCGTTGCCCTTCACCATTTGAAGCACGCAAATGCGGAGCTTCTGAGCTACTCCGCCTGAACAAGCCCCGTGAAGCTATCAAGAGGAACCTTCATGATGCCTTCTTTCTCCGCATTGAATCCTAGGATTGCCTAGGATTCCTCAGATCCCTAAAAGTAAGCGTGCTGTTCTTGGAGAACCTCCCAATTCAGCCATGTAGAAAGCCAAGCCAGGAGAGCCTCATCGAGTGGAGGCGCCGTTGGGATTCGGCCATATCTCCTCTGCTTCTCTGCGCACAACTTGACCAACCAAGTAGCGAGTCTTTAGGATATGAGTCTGAAGCACCCTGATTCTTTCCTTTGGCTCCTACAAGCCAAGGGACCCACCTGATGTTCTAAGATTCTAAGGTAGATACCTGCTAGACTTGTGACGAGTGCATGAAGACTGTATGTATTGCATGGGTGTGTGATCAAGCAAGCTCCGCACAGTGCCACTTTTGTGCGGAGCCTATAAACAGGCCCATTTGTACCTGGGCCTTTGTTTGTTACGTCATGTACTCACAGATGCTGCATCTCTTGCAGCTCTGCATCAAAGCTGGCAGGGCCTGCAGGACAGTCAGCAAACGATGGGATGTATGTAAACCTTGCCTTGACCATTTTGTTGCAAGCATACATCCACTTGCGGAAGTGTACAGATGATCCAAGCCGGTAAACACTTTGCATAATGCAAGTTTTAAAGACTGCGAAGCTCAGGCTTCTTCGCGTGTCCATTGGCCTCGAGGACTTCGAGCACTTGCGGGCAGATCTCATGTTCCCCGGGCCTCAAAGGACTCATGTACACAGGTTTTTGGGTTAAGGGCCCAAGCATTTGGACAACGTTGGGTGAGGTGAGGTTGTGAGCAATTGTTGCATGTCGCAAATGCCCCCAAATCGCCAGCAAAGTCGTCGGCACCTTCCGGCCTTGCGGGATCAGTCACGCTTAGGAAAACGTAGGTAGGTTTTGAAAACAGGGATGTGGCCTTCGACTGGGAGGATTCAGCGGATGTCTGCAAAGCCCTGCAAGATCTTAGCGGGGGGACTTGCTATTTTGGCGGTTATCTTACCGATGAGATGTAGATCCATGTGACCCCTAAAATTTCTTAAAAGACCCGCGAGAAGCACTCATCTGTGAGAACGCAACTCGCATCTTCCCCTGATCGGGCCGCAAGGTCTTGAGCATGGTAGTTTCTATCATCAACCCAGACCATATCAGGTTCGCAGAACTGCCCCAGGAGCTCCAGTAATAAGATCCAGGCTTCAATGGCCTTTATTTCGATTCTGTTGAATGCTGCCATGACCATAACAGCAACAGTTGCCGCCACAATTGCAATGACCATCTTCTGCCTCCCTAAGGCAAGGCATCCTCCAAGTGAACGCCGGAGCCAAGTAGCAGGTTTGCAGCTGTAGAGTCAAAGAGGATAACACTGAACGGAGTGTCTAAAGCGGCAGTCGAGTAGTGAGAACTTGGTATTGTTCCAAGAAGGGCGCACTCATAATGCCTATAGAGAAACGTTTAGAGTTTGTAGTTCGAAGAATTTCTTTGGTGGTAGATACTGAGAGGGCAAAGAGATTTGCGTCCGTGACAGCCGGAATCGTCTGGCCCGCTTCTGAAAGGGGTGGGCTGCAAATCAGCAGCGGGCTACACGCCAGAATAAAAAGGCCTACGGGATTGTAACAAGTAGGATTACTGGGTGATCAAACCTGCACTTACCAAGATCATAGAGGCTTGTAGGATGGCCCAAGTGGAATTCCATGACAATAGGATGGCTGGCGAATTATTTGCAAGCATTTCTGGACAAGCCAGCAGATTTCCAGCCCATCTAAGCATCAGGTGCTTGATATGCGAGCGCTTCGCAGGATTGCCAAGAGGAACTGCCAGGACTTCTGATGAGGAAATGGTGAGGATGCGGGTCTGGGTTAAAGTATACCACAGTTGGCTTCGAACGGGTGGGTATAGACTTCTGAATGATGAGTCCCTTCTTGAGGGTTGCCTCAGGGATTGCACGAGATGATGTACAGGCTGTATGGGATTTCCCAGAAGGGGCAAAATTGGTTGAGATTAAAACGGTTTTGGGGTGTATAATCGCTCCCACCCGAATTTTAACAAACCGCCCTAACAAGAAATAGTAAATTCAGCGGCATGCACTTCTAAAAGGATAAGACTACTTTATCGGGGCCACCTTATAATGAATTAGGGAGGCTCCTGGAATTATCAACTATTTATTCAGTTGATTAGTTAACTACCATAATCTCAATTCATTAAGTACCCAATTATGGATTATCGTGAATTACTACCTGATGTAATCTGACTCAATCAACTACTTATTGATTTTCCGTGGAGTTTAAAAAGGACAGGACTTCAAAGGCAGCCGTATCTAATTCTTGCTATATTCCCCCCCACCCCACCCCCGCATATTAGACATTTTTGTTTGGGCACCGGATTGTTACATGTCACGTGGGGGGAACTCGCTTAATGTTTGGAGGAAGCGATTCCGAGGGATGCTAATTTCAAAGTGCTGGTAGCACTTGTAGCTGCAGAGAGTCCTGACCGCCGGTACCAAGACACGTTCATGCAGCTCCGGATCTACAGTCCCCGAAAACGGATCCTAGTTTTCTGCAAGAGTCCCGCGGTAAGGGCCCTTGGAACAGTGTTTGTGAGCTTTGTGCCTGAATTAAAATAGCCGCGTTCACAGTCAAGTTGGGATGACGAGCCTGTTGGATGAGCCCAAGCTTGCTGTAACACTGAATGGCGGCCGAGGTCCTTCACCTGAGCACGTCAACGGTGTAGCTGGGTGGCAGGATTCGGCACACCAGACGCATAAAACCACAATTTCAAGTCACTGCAGCCTGAGGGGGCACCAATTCCATATTTGACTGAGCTGTGCGCTAGCGGATCAGGGGCGGATCCTGCCATAAGCAGGGAACGAAAAGAGGCTGATAGGAGGCCGTAAGCGTTGGTTTCTGTGGGAGAAGGCCACAGGACATGTTCCGCGCTGCGCTAAGTGCGGCAGAGTTTGCCGTAGGCCTGGCAAACTGTTTATCACCAGCCGCCGCTGTAGCAGAAGGCCTGAAGTCGAATCAAAGGTCAGGGAGGGTGGAGGGTGGCAAGGTGACCGCATTGCAAAGAGTGTTGGCTTTGAGCTCGAGACTAGGTAATTTGACCGGAAGCTGTCAGGCAGAGGATTCCGACCAGCGCCATGGTTATATCACTATCGGATATGTTTGTCGGCAGTCGTGCGAGTAGCCACGTTGAAGACATGAACATATAAATTTAGGGCATTGTGCTGCATTGCAGGTGTGGCATGGAATGAGCTTGTTTCTGGCTCCCTCCAAGACGAGCACCCGAACAACATCTCGTCAGATCACACACCACACTGGCTCAGCCTGCTCCACAAATAGCAAGTGTGATTTGCCATGATTTGCGTGTTTGCTGTATGGGCTCCAGCACAGTTGCAGAAGTGAAGGCCCCCAACATGACGTCATTAGGGCCGAGAACACTCCATGGATGGGCTTTGGGCACATGATGCCGTTACTACTTTTCAACGAGCATGCTATGAGACTTTGATCCGCACCAATCCCACCGTCAAGAAGATTCTAGATATCTTCCGCCAACCACTGCTTTTGCCCGCCATGGTTTCTGCACAGGCTCGCCCAGATAGCCATGTGGTGTGAAGGGTGTTTTACATGTGTGGGGAGAGAGCGGGGCCTTGCGGTAAATCTCGGTACTGTACTTGCATTGTGCTTGTGGAAGGTTGCCAAGTTGGCTGCAGTGCGCGACCGGGAGCATCTGTGAACATGCCACTAAATTACATATAGCTGCCACATCGCATGATCTCCGTCCCCTCCCCTAAGAAACACCCAACAAATGGCAAGAATGCTGGCCTCAAAACATTAATGTTTCCCGAGGGAAATTTATTTGGGCGCTGCCTTGAGGCTGCATTGGAATTTTCTTGGATCTTAAGCCCCCAACACGTCTAAAGCCATCCCCTACCTCTCACATGTGTACTTTGCTCGGACCAGTTGTGTCTAGTTGATACATGGCACGCTGGCTTCCAAAAGCAGGTACTTTATGTACGCCATTCAAGCAAAGCTGGGGGACGTCACCCCAACAAAGCTTGAGAATGGGCTGGCCCGCGAACACATTGCCCAGAATCACACAATCACGCCGTAACTCAACTTGGCATCCCTGCTGCTGATGTGTATACGCCACAGGGATGTGGGCTGGTCAACGCCAAGCTGGACGAATTCTTCTGGGAATGGTGCGCGCATTTGACCTGCTCTAGAATTGGGGTGTGGAAGTAGAGATCATGATCAGCACTTCGTTTGAGACTTATGGACAGGGTCTTCATTACTGCACCTAGGTCTAGGTATTAAGGTGGCATGTCAGAAGCTGTAAGCGGAGGAAGGGAGCCCTGAGGTGCGTTGCACTTTGGGGTTGAGGGTTCCAGGATTGGACGGAGGCTTCATCGTCAAGTCCCAAAAGGGATCGTGTCCGCCGGGATTTACACTTCGCATTCAGATCCTATTACCTTGTTGTAGATTGGCTAGTGCACGTCAACCTAGAACCTAGGGAAACCGTTGCTTGGCTCACTAGGCGAGTGCTTCAAGCACGGATAAGCAGGGCCAGCAGGGGAAGATTGCACATGTTTAGGGAGCCCTCAGAGACTCATCAAAGCTGCTTTCGAAACCCATCCTTTGTAGTAGCTGCAGTATGCAGGACTTGCCAAAGATGTGCTGGGCTCTTCTGGAACCCTGAAACTCAACCGTGCCTGCGGTGCGATTCGTGTGCTGAACCCTTATCCCTAAGCTTCTACGTGAGATACAAATTTCAGCTCTCTGACTGCAGCTGATTGGACATGTGTGCCTTTGTTCGCGCTCGAAGCCCCAAACCCTATGCCGGTTACTGAGTGCGGCGCTTCCTTTGGCCAAGCCCTTAAACCCTAAACAGCCTCAAAGCTGCCGTGGTGAAAGCCTGGAGGCTTATGCAGCCCGAGTCCATGCAACTGATACGGCAGATCATCCACAATGCCGAGGATCCCACGGCCGAGGCTCAGCATACACAGCCTACACCACCGTTTAGGTTTCCTTCCAGTGTGGGCTTGAAAGTTGGGATTCTCTCGCATGTTTGTGACTCTCATGTCAGGGTCTCAGGGATGCGAGTGTGGGGGATGTGGGTAAAAGAGTGACGATGGGAATACGAGCTTTGGCTCCAAGATCACTGGTCTTCCTGGACCAGGGACACAGCTGACTAACCCAAATGCCGGGGAGAAGAGCGAAGCCAGTAGTAGAAGAAGGAGAACAAGAAGAAAGAGCTGTTGTTTCGCGTTCAGGGTGAGAAACTGCAGGCACTCCGAGCCTTGCATGGGGGACTGGACAGACTTGACCTGCGCTGGGCCATGTTGGGCCACAGGACGCAACTCCAACGAGCTCCTTAAGGGGTTCGTGTGGCCTGTAGAGGGAGAAGAAAGCTGGGATTACAAGGTCGGCAACCTTGCTCCTCCTTTCTGATCCCTGCACTTCATGTTTGCGAACTTTCGTGCAATCTCAGTAAGTTGAAACATATTCATGCTCGACCTTAGTTCCACTTGTACTACTGTGTTGTATCCTCATAGCTTCGAAGACGCAGACAGATCATCAGCGGGTGCGAAATGCCGCTCTTACGCGCAGCGCGCCCAACTAGCGAACGCCGAGCTCCAGCGCATGTCTGGTTCCGGTCGAACCACGCATGTGGTGACCGCACCTAGGAAACAAACACGCGAGCTTGCCGCACAACTGATGCTCACATCTGTTGCAGCGCAAAGGCTCAAGCAGTCTACATTCCTTTTGGGCAACTTCCTGCCTCTGAGTTGCCATTCCATGTTCAAAGCGCTTCAGCTGCTGTATAAAGTCTTGGCTTTGGCGTGCCTGTGCCGGCCTCAGTTGCTCAGTTGGCCAGGATTCAAGCGAGACCTATCGTGACAGTGGCACTTCTAAGCACTGTGGTGTTGGTGTTGAACTGCCCCAGACGCCTCCGTCTCAACCCTGAAGCTTGGACTTCAAACGATGGGCATATTGAAATCCTACAAAGCCTGTTGGTTATTGCAGAATATTGTAGTCAATGAGGTTGATTATTTCTTCTTTCTCTTCTCATGCTGGATTTCCTTCAATCTTAGGCCTCCCCCAGTACAGGCATCGGGCAGAAAATTCAAGATAGGGTCCCTTTCGTTCCGGGGGCTCGGGGGATAATATTGACGCTACTGCGCTCCGCCTCTGCCGGCTCGAAAGGCCGAAGGGAAGAAATTCGGGAGGGGCTGGCGGATGAAGCTGCCGCCGCAGCACACAAACGAGGGTCTCTTCATCAGCATCAATCCACACTCCGCAAACTTATGCTTGCTCAATTGAGCCCCTCACCCTCTTATATGGCGAAAGCATCAGCTTCCCAATCCATCGCACGAACGGTCTTGAGTCTTGACCCCTTGAGCCACTACGGCCTACGCCCCCAAAGCCATCCATCAAGTTTGAGCCCCTTAACTATCCTCCAAGCTCGGCGAAAGAAGATAAACCCCAACCCGTACTCCCTGTACTTGAAAACCATCATCCCGCATCCGCGAGCCGCGAAGTGCCAAACGCCTCATCCCTAAGTCTACACTGCTCAAGCTCTAACCCTCTATCCCTAAGTCCATCCCTGAGTCCAACCCAGGGCCAATGTGGCCGCAGAGTTTGCTGAAGCCCTGAGATGCGCCGAAGGCGCTGAGGACGACGCGGCTGCATTGTCCTTAAGGCAGCTCCGTGCGACACTCGAGCCGAAATTGGCCGGCAGTGGGGGTGCATTTCTCTGGTACGCGAAGAGTATGGGGTTAGGCACTCGTAGGATGACATGTGAACTGCGTAAGTGTCTGGGTTCTCACATCATGTACATGGCTTCGGTCTGTTGCGGTCTTTTCTAGCAGGGTCGAACCTGTATCAAACCCTAGAAATTTCGTTGAGCCCAGTTGGCTACGACATGGGAGGGGTGTAGCGCTCGGCACAGGAGTGCAATGTGCGGAAATCTGTAAGTTTGAGAGATTATGAGGACAAGCACTTTACTTCCGGTGAGGGTCAGAACCCTCTATACCTGCTACCTGTCAGAGAGCCAGATTATCGTGGCGTGGCTTGAAACCTTAAAGAGCTGCATGCCTAGAAGAGTCAGACTTCAGTGGAGAATCCTAGGCAGCCTAAGGACCGTCACAGAATCTCGACAAACAAGCTCTGATGATGGCCAGAGCTTGGATGATGAAACTGGTCTTGCCACCTTGGATGCTGTCGGTGAGGACCTGTCGTCAGGTGCAGAGTCTGCAGAGCACACCGGGATCCCTATGATTGCCTACCCAAAACAGTACTGCAGGAAATGTGGCGAGATGGCTTTCTGCCACCGGGCTTGGAATCCAGGGTGTGGAGGAGCTGCCATTGGTGGGGTAGCGACCTTCCAGAACCGGAACCATGGGAAGGGATGTAAAGCTGGTGCCGTCCTCACAGTACCTCGGTCCTATGTCCGTGACATTGGCGCTCTAGGTCATGTACCCGGGGCTGAGACAACGCTGACGCAGATGCTGCAGAGTGGTTTCCGATTCTACCAGCACATGGGCCACACCGGTCCAGTCTGGCAATGCATCCATTCGCCTAAGCATGTAAGCGTCAGATGGCTGCACCTTCATACTTTCTGTTTAGACGGCCGGGTTGACAACCTGCCCACTCGCCATGACTATTGTGCAAAGATGAGTACCTGGTATGAAGCATCTCAGATTGCAGCCAAATGGCTGCACCATAGGTGAAGAGGATGGCAGTGCTCGAGCAGCCACCCTGTCCACAGGCAACGTCCTTGGATTCATTTTCGGCTGTTCCGGGCAAGGTTAGCCAGACAAAGCGGCGTGGCCCAAATTGGACTCTTCTTGGTTGCCGAGACTTCTATTGGAAGCTGTGCTGGCACTTCTGCCGATGACTGACGGAAAAAGCCATGTATCCATCATCATGGTGACCGGCTCATCAAGCGTGCTGAAGCTAATTGCAGCAGCTGTCATCATGGTAACGTGCTGAAGGGTTAAGAAGCTGGTGAGGAGTGCTACAATCTTTTTGACACGTTTCTTCTGTATGTTGAGTGAGGACGGACAGCCTGACGCTTCCGTAAAATGATGTGCCAGAGGTATAACGGTATAACAGCCACCGGTAGGTTGCTCAAAGCCTCCTAGAACCTAGAGACCAGAACACGTAGTGTAGATGGCAGGTGCCAGCGGTGAGCTCCAGCCCTCATCAGCTACACATCCGTGGGTCACCGGCAGGAGGGAGGTGCCCGTTCTTAGGCTTACAGAGCTTAAGCCTGAAGCATGGCATGTGTGGGGTCGCTTGTTTAGAGCTTGTGCAGCCTGGAAATGTCAAAGCCCAGCTTTTGCTTGGCAGCTGCTGTTGGGATCCGCAGAGCCCTCCGTTCATGGCGAGGGCTCACTTTGCGCCCTACTTGAGTTTGTTGATCTTCGAACAAACTTGCAGCACCGAAATGGCAAGCGCAAACCTTGGTAGAAGCAGGCACAACCACTGCGCGAGTTGTTGGACAGCGGATACAGCGTAACAGTGAAGCACTCTTACTCGAGTTTGCTCAGCGCGGGAATCGTCCAGCATGTGCTTCCTGCTCTTTTGGACAAAGCACGTGAGGAGCTTAAAGCCATAGCGGCGCTGCTGGCGGTAGTAGTGCTCAGTCACATAACCAATAAATAGCGAACAATAGTAGAGAACTGTTGTAGTCAAGAAATTGAAAAGAGTCAGAGTAAACGGGGGGTCCAAATGGACTGGTCGTATCAGGGTCATACTCACACTGCCTGGCCAGGCCTTCCCCGCCGGGATCTCCGCATCGCACAAATGTGGGCCTCGGTAGAGAAGGCAAACAAGCACCGAAAAGCTGGCCCTTTTTGCGGATGAATTTTTGAATTTCCATGGTCTATGGAGTTTGAAGGAATTCCTGAGGGCCGGCCTTGCAGTGCTACAGACCACGTCAATTTCCTAGATCTTGCTAAGCAGAGTCTGAAGGCCTAGGATATGAGGTAGCTTCCTAGCCTTCCCCGATGTTGAAAATGTTAGTTCCAGTATGAAAAGGGAGGGCGATGTCTAATAGAATGTTAGGTTCGGAAATTTGAGTTCGAGAACAAAATCCACCTCATGAGTGGTGTGTTAGAGATCATGGCCGTGTACATTTGGGACTAGTGTTCTGTCCAGAGCTTGCGTACGAATTGCATTCGAAATGGTTCAAACATTGTGCAAGCTGAGGTGTCTGCATCATTCAGGTAGCTGTGGTGCATGATTCCGTGGCCGCAGGCGATGTGGAGCCTACCAATCTGCAGCCATCTTCGCCGGGGCCTGGCACTGAGTTGTGTGCAACCCCAGGTATTGGCCTGCGAGAGAACCCACGCATGAAAGTTCGGGCTTCGCGGATTTCGCGGATCAGTCAACTTGCGGTAGACCTGCGTATAGCATATCTGCACAAGGGCAGCATAGGGCAACAATGCAACGTTTGCATGTGGGCAATTTGGATTCTGTTGCATGTTTTGCTCTGTGATGCCGCTGGAAATTTGGTTGCAATCTCGGGCTGTTGTTTCAAAATGTTGCCAAGCAAGAATAAGGACCGTCGTACGAGGATAGAGGTACATGTGTCGAGCAGAGGTCGAACAAAAAAAGCAGTGCTCAAGCTTCTGCCTGCATGGGGGGCTTTTCAGAGGAGCATTCGGCCCCCCAATTTAATGGAGAAACTGTTTTCTTTGCAACCCCTTACTGAGCTGATTTAGTGTGATCATCCAGAAAGCCCGTCATGAACGATTCCGCAAATAACCCTACATATCAATACATCTACCGATATATCCCTATATACCTTCATATATGCTGACATATCCAAAGAGCTGTATACCTCTCGCTTGACGAAGGCACAGCCCTCCAGTTAGCCCGGCCCGCGGCTCAAATACGAGTTTGGCAAAATTACGGGCATTCCTGCGGGATGTGATGTCTTGTAGGGAATCTCTAATTCTTGGGTTCAAAAGGCTCGAAGGATTTGGAAGCTTCATGCTGCAAGAAGAACTTCGCTTTTAGAAGGAAAGATGTCAAGGTACACGACGTATACATACGCATATGCAGATGCAAATGCGCGTGTTTTACGTGCGATTGGCGGTAATGTTAAGATCCAATCACCATCGCAGTTTGTCGATGCTCTGCCATAGGGTCAAAGTGAAAGAAAGCTAACCTTCCCCCTCATGCGCTGGCTTCACACGTAGCTGGAGTGTCTGGGTTGGTCACTGAGCTTCAAGCCGTTGGGGCAGGGCACGCTTTGGCTTCCCAAACGGGCTGCCCATGCAGCACCGCACGGCCGTCACGTTGCAGCCACGCACAACGGCTGTTGTTTCGCCAGGTTCAACATACCGCAGTTTCAGAAAAGCAGTACTTCCCAACTCCCCAAACCCTCAAGTGTATTTTTGGACACAATCCACGGAAGAGCCCCTCAGCTTGGATCAGAATGCCCTAAGCAATCTCAGGGTTGTTAGCCATTTATCTTCCACGCAGGTGCCGGCCCCTCCGGCACCAAAGGCCGCAACTGCTTCACAGATGTTAGGGCTAAACACGAGAGGGGATTTGCCCATTTGGGGAGTTCACGTAAGGGGTTTGGAATGTACACGTTTGGGTATAAAAAGGTGGCCTTTCTGCAGGGTAGCTCCGATCCTGTAGTTGCAATTCAAAATAGGACCTTCCAGTCGTGACGGGAATATCAACGGGAATATCAGACGCTCACCGCTACCGAAAACAGGTTAAAAAGGAAAAGCAAAGAGCATCACTCTTAAGGACTGTGCAGGGCAAGCGTCGTCGTCTGTTCTGTGAGTTAGGTTGGCTGCTGCCCTCACCTCGTTATCATCTAAAAGAGGATACCCTTCCCGTGATGACAATTAAGACCAGCAGTCACTGACCCTGGATGTGGCGGTATCAACTTTGAGGGTGAGCGGCCTGTTTCCCGAATTGAGACAAAGCGGGATCCGTCGCGAAGTACGCGAAGCCTTCTTGTAGGGACATCCATCAAGGACATTTTTGCTTTCAGGGCTCAGGGCTGAGACTAGAGCTCCGAAGTCTTTACGGTCACGTGGGAGTTATGGTCTTAAGGGATATTAAGACGCTTGGAGGAGGCCTCTACGCTGAGATATACCCACAGGCGTCGTTTTGGACTTATAACATGTCGTCTCGTCGTATGTCATATGCAGTAGCGCCGCGAACTTTCAAAGTTGTACTGTAACACGCCGGCCCAGTACTTCGAGTTTCCGACGTATGCGAGTCTCATTTGTGTTTCCTTTCTTGCGCGCCAGGACATAGACGTGCTGTCGCCTCCGTGTGCACCTGAGTTGTTCTCATTTTGTGCTGCTGTCCGGTAGTGCCGAAGCATCCGGGTGGACTTTGCTCGAATCATTTTTGGCGGATTCTTGGGGCTTTTGGAGCATGCAGGATTCGGCGCAGCTTGCTTGCCGCGCACCCCCTTGCCTGCGAACCTCCTGGGATGTCCCAGACTACATGCGCTCAGTGACAGCTGAAGCGTTCAGGCTTAGTCTTGTATTCAGAATGCATCCTCAGAATCATTCCTATATTGTTCCCATGCAAAGTCCCATGGTAATCCCTACCACGCATTTCGCCATTCCCGACTAGCCATGAATAAGCGGAGGTTCATTCGCACCTCTGAACCTTTAGCCGAGGCCGGAGCATCCGATTAGCCCGGGCAGTGGGCCCACAGGCGAGCGGCCGTCGATCAGCAATTGCGAGTTTCTCAACAAGTGCGGAATGACACGGTGCTTGGGCAAGGGTGGTGGTAGCGGCCATGTACCAAATTCGAACTGTTCCAATATGATATCTAAATCCACAAATACTATGCCAAATGTTGTACTGGTACCAACTTTGACTGCCTTGCAATAGTAATTCATACAAGTTCCTTCACAGCACCCCAGATGATCCGCAAGCAACTGCATCTCCTACGCCACATCTTATGCCAGCGCAGGCGTAAAGAATTCGATGATTGCAACCAATGCTAAGGCCTGGCATGGATGATGCTGGTTTCTTACTGGGGTTAGTACAGAAAAAGGGAATATAATATACAGGGATTATATTCCGTGATAGCTTACTAAGCCCCAGTAAGTTTAGGTTTCTAAGGGTTGAGGGCTTTGTGGCATGATAAGAAGGTGCTTCTTTCCAAGTAGGCGCCCAGCCCCGCTTCCCAACAGGGAATGACTAGTTTCGCTAAATAGGGGCACCCAATGTAGACCTCAACAGATTCTAATCCCAATTGGCGGGACCCCCTGCTTCTTAGAGCCCGCATATCCAGAGCGTTCAGACCGCCTCGGCTTGACCAAGTGAGCGCATGGTCTAAGCTCTCGAGTCTTTTTCGAACCAAGAACAGCCGCTCAAACTTGCTGCCTGAGACCATCCCCCGTTTCTGGTGGCCAAAGCGGGATCAGATTTCCGAGCTTGCGTGACCCTCAGACTCTGCTCAGTGGTAGCAGGTGAGTCGCAGTGAGCGCGGTGCGAGAGCAGACGCACACGTCTTGATCCTTCCTTGCCAAGGGCCAGGAGTACAAAGACCAGATTCACGAAATCTTCGTGAAGCAGGGTATCACCGATGGGATAAAGACCTCAGGGGTTGAACCCAATCTCTCACAGTTTGATGCCTTTTGATTGTTGCTGTGGAACTATAGTCGATGTCGGTCCATCCATGTCAAGCCGCTCACTCATGGACATGGCGTGAGGAATTGGGAGCAGTGCGAGCAGATTGTGACGGATGTGTTCAAACTATCCAAATACTTTGCCGCTGGTTGCTCAGAAGCCAGCATGCTGCTTAAGAATGCCTCTCAAATCGCCGCAGCAAGCATGCTGGTCTTGCCTCTTGCCTGTGTAAAAACAGCTAGTTCGGACATCAGATGAGGCCCCTATTTTCCACAAAATGAAGGCGGGAGTGCTTTGGGATGGCAGGGTCTTCATGGAGCTTGCCTTGGTTGGAGCTAACTTGGTATTCTGCATACTCGTACCACAGAAAACGTTAGGATGCTTGGTTCTTAACTTGTTTGCTCCGACATTTTCCACCATACCTACCTATACATCTATGCATACACATGCTATCTCTGCCCGGCCAGGCTTTCTACGACATCGTTGATCGCAGCGCGATCTCCAAGCGCGATGTTCGGATCTCATGTTGATGTTCGCTCAACTTGGTGCATGTAGAAGTCTCACACCAGGTTAAATTCACAGCTGCCATGCTCAACCTGGCCGTTGATCATCCTCGTGATTTTTACCCACCAGTTGAGCAGTCTGATACTCTTCGCGGCAACCCTTGCTTCTCTCCATCAACTCCACCAAGGTACTGTAGGATCCCCAAGCAGCACACCACACATCCAAGAATGCCCGAAGTGAGGCCATGATGGTTCCCACTCCAGTGCCTATCACGGAGATGATGTCCCTTGGCCTTCTCAAGTGTGTTTCAGCCAGCTCTTGGCCTATAAAAGTCGGAAGTTTTGAGGCCTAATCAGGAGCTTCTTGGGTAAAGACCCTTTGCACCCCTTCCCTCATGATATTGGCGTTGCACTAGCATGAATAGGCTGTCAGTCTTCCATTGGCTTTCAGGGACATCGCTGGCAGGCTGTAAAGAGGCATATGCATTTCCTAGCCAGGGTGGGGGGAATGGATCAGGCCCTGAGCCTGCTCCTGCGCATCACAGCAGATTCTGTGCTGCCAGGGTTGTTGGGTGGGCGAACCGAAAGATCCAGCCTGACGATCCGACCCTGAGCTTTTTCTCAGTTGTCAAGAAGGCCGCGCAGCTGCATCTCAGTGCCTGGTGCGTTGTGCTGCTCCAGAAGAGGGAAGCTAAGAGTGAAGAGCAACCCCGGCTCAGCTTGAAACTCTGTCCTTCCATCCTTCAAAGCAGCGCAGGACCACAATGACTGGATAGAGAAGGAGGCGCTGATGGCTAGTTGCTCGTGTGCATGCGCCTTGCCAGGCTGATTTTGCATGATTCCTCAGCCCCTCGGGACACGTCATCTTCTGGCTGGCCTTGCTCGGGCTCTTGCATGCGATCCTTGACGTGCGTAGCGAGCGGTGTAGGCTTCAGCCATTTGATGGCCTGCAGGGTCTTGAACATGTGACAGGATTTCGACATCTTCCTTTACGCCATCTTGATGACCCATCCAGGTTTGGATTTTCTCCTGGACACCCAGGCGCCGGTCTTGGGTTGTTAGCCCACAGCTTGAGTGCTTCTGTCCTTCGTCCCTTGGATGGTGCACGTGCTCTGCAGGAGTTCCAAGATAGATATGCTGATACGGTGCGGATCTGAGACCTGAAGAGGCATTCCCATAGGATTTTTCAAGCACTGACTCCCCTCTATGGTGTGGGGGTTACAGAGTGATCCATGATGCCCACTTCCTACCTGCACGCCATCTATCGCCCGTGTGCAGCCAACAAAGGTCACCAGCCGAATCTTCTACATCTACGCCACTGCTGCCGCAAGTTACGGTGTGGAAGTTGTGCAATTCGAAAGCCTCGTGATCTTGGAAGTTTGAACAGGTTTCAGTCCTACAGGGGAAGCTTGATTTGTGTGGCTTGGGCGTTGCGGAATTTTGGATTGCTGCTGCAGAGGGTACCCTGCTTGTTGATCGTAAAATTGGACCGGTCAGGGCCTACAGTCTACAGTCTGTCAAGGGTGTCAGGTTGTCACGAGCTCCGTCGTTACTCTCAGGGCCCCTGGAAGGGACGTGGCATGTCTAACAATAGCCAGACCTTCTGATAGCTTTGTACCCAGTGGGTGTCTGACACAGAACCTTACTGCAGAAGCCACTTAGAGGGCCCAATCCAATCTCTTAACCCGTGCGCCGGCTCCATCGTCTGCCAAGGATAGGAAAGGCACAGGCCGAATCTACCTGCAGAGTCCGGGCCTTGAAGACTTGAAGACGCGTGCATTTGGAAGCTTACCTCTGGTCAGCAGGTGACGCAGGATGATGAAGGAATGGACACCACCACCAACAACAACCACCACAACACCAACAACAATCACAGCAACAACGCCAGCAGCAGCAACAACAACAACAACAACAACAACAGTAACAACAACAACAACAACAACAACAACACCAGCAGCAGCAGCAGCAGCAGCAACAACAACAACAACAACAACAACAACATTTACAGCACCAGCACCACCACCGCCGCCGCCGCCGCCACCACCACCACCACAACAACAACAACAACAACAACAACAACTTATGGAGTATCATATAGGGACTACTATACGAATCTTGAGGAGGTAAGTAACCCCACCAACTTATCCTTGATTCCAACAGGGTCCCTGCAATTCTCTTACGGCTCCCACATAGCCCGAGGGTACACCTAATAGTAAGAAACAACCAAAACATTATTACGGAGGCAGGGAAGAGTTACGTACAAGATCGTTCGAATGCCGTAAACCCTAAACGCTACTTGAAAATGACGAACGCCTTAAAATGCAAGCCCTTCAGCTAAGCTATTGAGGATCGCTGTCCTTCTTAGGTAATCCCTTTGGTCGCTCTTGCTTGTGCCCTTGCCCTTTGCCAAGATTTGCGGCGATATCAGCCGTCCATCGTGGAGACCTGGAAGCAGCTGGAGGCTCCAGCATTCCAGCACACCAAACGGGTGGTGGCTCATGATTCAGGGTTTCGTGTTGCAAAAGGTCTCCATTTTTGTAAGATTTTGCAACAGAAAGGCCAGGTAACGAGGCTGAAGGGAGAAAATTGCTTTTGTTTATTGGATTTGTGCGCACACCTGCTGCATTCCCTGGCAAATGGGAGATTAGACTTCATAAGAGCTTGCGAGCTGAAGTCTGCTTGTCGCTGACAGCTTCCCGGCACCTTCCAGTGAGCAGCTTTTGCTGTTCGACAGGACTATGACGACATGAAGATGATACGGGATTACTTTAGTTACGAGCACTTCTACGTGATCTATTGTCGGGAGCTCATATACCTTGAAGAGACCGCCTTTGTGAATGCTGCATGCATGTGTATATATATATATATATGTGTGTGTATGTATATCTATATCAATCATATCTTTGGCGTATACATGGGTGTAGAGATGTGTCCTGTACGCAGAAATCCCAGAAAGTGTTTCGAGGCACTTTCTGGGAGCTGGACTCTGACCACGACTTCCTCCTAGACAAGGATGACCTGCTGAAGTATGATGGGCTCGTCTGGCCTGGTTGACTTGTGATCTACTTGCCTGGTCCGAAACCATAGACTGTCAGCAAAATGAGAGACACCTTCACAGCCCTTGCTGCCTGAAAAGTATGAGGACAATTTCAACGCTGCTTCCTTACAGTAGCTTTGTCGTGTGCTACAACAGCGGCAAATTTGATTATGAATTAGGCGGAAGGGATCCTGAGCAGTTGTTAGAACAGGGGTACCAGATAGACATCATTTCCAAAGCATGTAGTGAGCCTGCCTGGAATGCAGTTGCTCAGCTATCGGGGCCTTGCATTTGCAGTTGGGGTCTGACAACCCCGCCATCGGCAGAGACCTGGATGCAACAAGGAGTACTCGGATGTAATCCGGGCACATGTAGGGCCTGCAGGATCCCCTGCTTTGAGGATGCTACGAGGGCCGGTGTGGTTTCTGAAAACTCCAACTTCTGCAATCCGGGCCACAGACCCACTCGTACTTCCATTATGAGCACCCCCTAAACCCCCATCACCCCCGACCCCCCTCCAACGCAAAGGCGTATTATACAGCTTGCGGGAGATTCCCCTTTGAATTCGCATTGCCTTCCGCTTCAGCTAAGCCCTAAACCCTGCTATGCTGGCGTAGCCATGAAAGTGGAAAGCCGTGCCTGCCAGGCATGCGCTGTCAAGAAGGACAGTGGACCGGATCTTTAGCGAGGTCACCTGGCGGCCTGGGCCTCAGGAGCCAGATTGTTAAGATCTGTTCAGGAAATTTGGGGTTAACAAGGTTGGAGGACTTTACTTCGGAGACTTCTGGAAAGTACACAAGAACCGGGGATGTGGGCTGTGTCTTCAGGGTTCAAACTTTGATTTGCTTGGACTCGTTGCCCCTTCATTGCTGAACAAGCATGCTGGTCTCAGTTCGCTGCTGCGCGGTTGGCTCACATCGAGCAACAGCACTGAGCGACAGGCACCAGTACAAACTCAGCAGGTCTGGCGGCATGCCTGAATCCATGCTAATCGCTTGATCTGACTGGGAAATGCAGCTAAGGTTTACATCAGCGGTTCCTGGCAAGATGGGCTACGAGGCATCAGCCCCATCCAGATCAAGGGTGGAATGCGGCTATGCGAGATGTGCAAGACTTCGTGCAGAGCTCGTTCAGGATTTCATCCATTTCCTCCTGAATGACCAGGATCAGATAACCGCCGCAGCCTTTGGAAAGGGGGAGACACAACTCTGTTTGAACAAAACGATATTAGCAACTAGCTGCCTATGTTTGTAAGTTTGCTCCTGAGCGGTTATAACATATCATGCAATTTTGCATGCAGCACGTTATGAAGTTGATGAATCAGTTGCAGCCGATGCCGGCTTGCTTGTTCTAGCCAGACTTTCACGACAAAGTACTTCACATACTAGACCTTGTCTTGGGAGCGCGTTGTCACCCAGGACAGATCGATCGAGTTTTGGTTCAACATCTTCGACCTAGATGTTTGGCACTCGGAGTGTGCCGTCTGAAAACTGCAAGCAGATCCTTGCAACTCCTAACAGGCTTGTCCAGACAGTTGTAATAAGGGTCAGATCCACCCTGGTGGTGACAGACAGGACAGTAGTATTAGAATCGAAGTTGTTTAATCTCCTCATGCTACGGTCAGGCGTCGTCATTAATGTCGAAAACCAACCTTTGGTACATGGAACCTCAGATCCTCAGATGATTCGGTGACATGTCCTCTTTCCTTTTAGCAAAAGGTCCCCAAACGGATTATTCTGCCTCGTTGATGGACGAAATCTTGCCCCTCAGTCGTCCAGACTGCTGTCACTCCCGCTGTCTGTCGGGGGGTGCGCACCGCCAAAGGGATCCCGAAAGGTTATACCGCGGAACGGTACAAAGATCGTACATAAAGTGCGGGACAAAATCTGTTGAACCCTACCAGTGGAAGCTGTCAACCCCAAACCACGAACCAAACCCTGGAGATGGCGCAGATGGGATGCATCATTTGCATGAGAGAATGTGTCTTGCCGTGACAGTTTTTTCGAGCGTAAGGGAAGGAAGTTGAGGGATTCCAGCAGCTAGGGCCTTCCTCGTGTGAAGCTGTACATAGCCATGGGCGCGTAGGCAAGTCCCAGTGCCCCTAAGCGCATGGACTGCCTTTGCATGGGCTGGTGCCGACCAATAGATTTAATCCGGAATACTGCCTTTCCATGCCTCGGCCATGCAAGTGGCAGAATTTCGCACTGAGACCCATCTTGAGGCAGATGGTGTGGTTCGAGACTACGAGCTGTCCAGCCCTCAGATTGATCGGCAACGCTTGTACCCAAGAGGCTTTTGGGTTTCGGGTTTCGGGATTGGGGTCAGGGTGACATGGAGCCTGAAAAGGTGACTTAGAGGTTGAGTTAAGACTTACCTCCATTCCAGTAATTGGGTGTGTGACCTAAGCTCGGGCTTTTACACGGCTGTTACGCAAGAACAAGCGGCCAAGGACCCATACCTCGGCAGCACGTGCTTCTAACGATTCCAACTTGAAACCTTCAAAGCCCGCAACTGTCCTGTGCGATGTTAGCAACCTTTGGGCTCTTGCAGTGCTCTCCGCAGCTAGCAACTACATCCGGCCCCTTCGCCCTTGAAAGTGCATCATGGCGGACCGCAAGGCTGCATAGTGCTGCTGGTGATCACACGGATTTTAAAATATATTATCCCCCTATGATGGAGAATCACATGGCAAAGAAAATGGAAAATGACATGGACACCTTGGGAAAATAGGGGCTTAAGGAGCTTAATTTGCGTAAGCTTGTCGGCAACAAAGCTATGGATAACTTGGCATTGATAGCTAGTACAGCGCTGGCAAATGTGTGAATCCTCCAGCGGAAAGATTTTTGGGCGGGCTTGGTAGGGGAGTTCCAGGGGGTAAAATCCCCACAGTTGATGCCGAAATAGCTGCTGCGCTGTGTTGTTATTGGTACTAGTATTACTACTTGTATACATTGCTACTACTACTTTAACTATTCTTATCAGCTGAGTTTGCTTTTGGCCTTGGCCTGTGGACAGGCTGTGATCAAGAACGCTGACATGGCCGAGGACATGCAGCAGGATGCCATCGACTGTGCCACACAGGACAGCTACGTGCTGCATCCACTGCCACCTGGGTCCTGCAACCTTGCATTGGACAGATTCCAACTCGGCAAGGCATTAGCTGTCTTGGTGGGTTTCAGGTGTATTGCGCAAGCCTCGCATGTGGCCTAATGGAGTTGCCATGAACTCGTCACAAGCTTTGACTGTGAGGCCTTGGAGAAGTACAACATAGAGAAGGACATTGCCGCCTTCATCAAGAAGGACAGAACATAGGCGATGGTCAATATCCCCGCTTAGGATGGCTCCCATGAAGCTTACTTTTGACTGACGGCCTTGGGAATTGTTGGGCTCCTCTAGGAGTTCGACAAGAAGTACAACCCCACCTGGCACGCAGTCGTTGGACGCAACTTTGGTTCGTATGTGCCCTGCCAGCAGGTGAGAAGCCATTCTGGAGATTGGTATTTCCTAAAATTAGGGTCCTCCACATGCCCAAAATGCCATTTCCCTGAAACCTGCAAAGGAGACACCAAATCAAAGGGACCCATACTTTCCAAGATTCTTGCCTTCCTGATTCCAAAACTGTTTGACCCAAGGCGACCATCTCGACCTTTAAAATGGTCTGATCTTGCTACTGAGGGGTTTCGATCGTTCGCGACGCTTCGAACAAATGCAATATGTTCAGTCAAGGTCACGCATGAGACCAAGCACTTCATCTACTTCTATTTGGGTGGCGAGCTCATTTCGGTGTCTGACAAGGTGTAGCCAGGCAGGCCTTGACTCAGCCAGTGGGGACTTCTCTACAGAGACCTTTTAAAATCTACTTAAACCCAATCATTGAAGGAACCCCCATACCTCGATGGGCTTTTCCAGGTTTACATGACCGATTTTATCACAACAGTGTCACCAGATGTTGTCTAGCAAAGAGTTGCAGCTAGCCTATGCCTTGTGTGGGGTGCAGAAGACTTATGGCTGCAGAACACATCCGAGTTCCTCAAAACAGTTTCTTTACCTTCCTTTTTAGGGGCCTTTGCAATCCCTTCAAAATCCTCATGCATATGTGGGGCCCCAGGACACACTAATTTGAAACCTTCCTAGTGCGTCTCGGATTGTCCCAAACGAAAGCGACGAAGGCATGTGCGTCGGCGTTGGCAATGTTTGGGGTGTATCTTGGGGCTATGGCCCCACATGGAAACTCCCGAAACGAGACTCCAGAATTGCATTTTCAGAATATAGGGTTTTTCTTTTCTTCTGGCCCCATGAATTGGATATTTTCATTTACAGTGGAAGCTGACATTCATCGCTGAGGCCAGGTAGCGATCCTGCTCTTCAAGTCTGGCTAGACGTGCAGCAGGAGGCATAGTTTTGAATGTTGGGTCATCTTCAAGGGACCTTTTTGAGCTTGTTGTCTGTCACTTAGATGTGCATTCTATTTACAAAGTAATCCGCTCATTTGCACCATCACAAGAAGATAGCCAGGACTTCACGCAACCATCGCAACCCAAATGGGGCCTATGTAATCTTGGGACACGAAAAAAAGGGAAGGACTGCTGCCTTTAGGGGACCTTCTGGTGTTTGTAGAAAAAGAAGAGATCAGCTTGAACAAGTTCTCAGTGTATTCATTGCGAGCAACTTTTTAATCTCTGTTCAGCCCCACCTGTCAGAGCATTTTCAAACAGGGAGGTTCCTACATGTATAGCCAAATTCCGTAATCCACATCATAGCAACCCCCCAAAGACAGCAACTATTCTTGGAACCTCTCATTCACACATCCCTATCCTTGAAGCCTTCTATGGTGCGAACCACAGAATGTAACAGTGCAGCTATTCAATCTGCGCTGTGGGTCGATGCAGGGCCCTTTTCTTGCCTGTTGTCGGAATTCAGGAATGGGATCCCTAAGCGGTAGCCCTGAACCCCTACAGCAATCTTAACACAGACTCGCTTCACATTTCATCGTAGCAAGAGCGTGCAGATATGCCAATATACCACACCGCTCTAAATTGTGGATAGCCTCCGAACCCGAAACCAAAACCCTTCAGCCTGAACTGCCGATCCCTGATTTTCGGGCCGTGCCTATGAGAGCGATGTGCGTCTTGAATCCTTACTTCTCAAACCTCTCGGCCGTACTCCCTAATCCTAGTCATCAGGCCAAACCCTATGCCAAACTGGCCGGATCAGGGACTGGATGAAGACCTTGCGCTGCCCAAGTAACCGTAATCTCTTATCCAAACTCAGAGTCGCGAGGCACAGGCACGCTGATCCAGCCCAGTCAGGCAGTGGTGCGCCCTGCAGGTGTCACCATGGTATTCTTGAAAGGGATTCCGATCCTGATGCTATTCGGCACATTTCCTTACTTGTCACTCCTCATTTGGCTTTAATTATGCAGAACTTGATTCCACCCATCTTCGACTCTCAAGTCGTTGCTCGTACTGCCGGGTGCTCTGACCACTGCCTTGTTTCATCAAATGAGTGGGCACCTTGACAAATTCGTCGCGCCCACTGGGTTTGCAACATGCTTGCTCAGAGGGCTCACATCCGACTGTGGAATTCTGACCGCTTCAACATGCTGAAAAAAAGTTCGAGATCTATGCTGTTGTAGGCTCACTCACGATTTTGGGCGAGAACGGTGGATGTCCGTGAGTTATGCATGCGGCCTGATCAGCTGTATCTTGGCAAGTTGCATGCTGCGGCAGAATGCAAGGATTTCCAGAGGACCGCGCCCTCGTGATTCTGCATTCTGAAGTCTTTCCAGAACTCACCCCCAAAGGTAGCCACAGGTGGCCTAGGGTCCCCTTGAGTGTAATTGTACACACATTCTCAGGCCCACCTTCATATTGAAATGCTCCACACGCATCACAAGGAAGTTCTTCTACGAAGAGCAAGTGCAGCGCATGGAGTCAGAATCTCAAACCATGCTGCTGGTGAGCTTGATCTTGATGTCGTTGTTGAGTTTGCTAGGAGGTAGCATTGATCCCGTGTCTACGATAAATGACAACTATGCTGCAAACCTGGTGCAGCTGTGCGGTTGTGAGGTGCCTGAACTACGAAACCATCGCGTTTTGTGATGTTCTGCTTGCATCTCAGAAGTCTGTCTTCCAGAGATGACGACGAGGTCAGAGTGCACGTAAACGCACATATGGAGCAACTTTGCAGGCTGACAGAGCCGCCCCTTCAGTTCGTTAGCCTTGAGTTGGAGAGTCAGTGCCCGACAGTCAGCAAGGTGCCAGCTACATGACATGATTTGTCCTCGAGTTGCTGGAGAGCCTGGAGCTCAAAAGCTGCCAGAGTTTTACGGTCAAATGAGCTATAGTCTCTATATAGGGGAGTAATATAGGGGGGATACTAGGAGTTTACACTATAGCTCAGCTGATCTTGTGGACGAATGGACTCATAGCCTGGGTCAGTCTTAGAAAGGTACCTAGAATTACAGAACCATATACGGAAGTACTCAAATCCATTCGCTTCCTGCAGAATTCTGAGCGGAACCAGGTTTCGACTCGCAGACTTCAAGCGCAAGCGCAAATTTGCCGGCTCTTTCTTTTCGATTTTCACGCCGGGAGCTTGTGATCTGTATTGTTCTGCAACACATGTCTGCTGCTGCCACCGTTCATCCACGGCTATTAGCATCTTGCTGCTTCTGCATAGCAACATGCATGTTTACACCGGCATGTGCATATGCAAACATAGATACACATGCACATTGATGTGTGGATGTGTGGGTCCATGCAGACACATGTATACATGTTCTGTTTCGACGGTCATGACAATTTTGACTGCTGCCCATGTGCTCTTAAGACAGTCTAACTCAGATTTGATCCCCCCGTGTCCGCAGTCCTCATGACTCATAACCACCAAACTTTTGGAATCCCTATTCTAAGGACCCCCAAAGGACCATGATTTTGGAACACCCCAGATGACACGGGGAGGGTGTTGCGTTGATTTGCGCTCCTTTGCCAGCAGTTGGCTCTTGGGATTGGACATGCTTGGACCACCCCACACTGTTGCAGATGCAAATGCAATGGGACTCAGGGGCAGTGGCCAGCTAGCCCAACTAGTAATTAGCAGTGGGGTTTTGTTTTCATCGTGCGAGGGATTGTAGTCATCGGAATCGCGACGCCCAGCTGGAAGTGAAACTGAAAAGCAATGATAACTGCATGGGCAAGCCAGAAACCAAAAGCCCAATAGCGCGGCGAGATTCAGCAGGCATGCAGCATAGTCGGCATAGCCCACGCCGAGCTAATTACGCATCTTGCTTTCGGAGCAAGCTGATGCTGGTTGCAGTCCTTTGGCAGCGATGTAGAAACTCGCTACCTTGCCTGTTCGGAGTCCTACCTATCAAGCCTTGCTACTTTGAACAACTGCTCCTCAAATATGACCTGCCTTCTCTCGGCAGGGCATCAATTCAGTAAAACATGGAATGCTGGCTTTTGACACTTGACCACGCAGCCTGCGGAAGTCTTTGCTTGCCATGCTCCGCTGTGTCACAGTGCACGGCCTTGCGAGCCAGCCGAGCCTCGGGTGCTAAGGGTCAATTTTGGCAGCTTTCAGACTCAGGGGTAGCTGGTAAGTTGAAGTTGTAGTATGTGTATGTGTTTGCATGTATGTATGTATTTTTGTTGGACTTGTATATAAGTGCGAAAGCAGGAAGATTGTGCCCGCGAGCCTTTCGAAACATGTATCGAGACGTAGCGAAGGGACCATGGGGTTTTCTGCGAATAGATAAATGCATTCCTTCCAAGGGTTCTAGGGTCAGGACCACTTACTCCACAGCATTCCGACCGTCTCTGGAATCCTGGAGCCCGAAGTCCTATCCTCAAATTGGTGCCTCTCCTGCTTTCAAGATATAGATATGAATAAATATACATGTATATGTATATGTTCACTGTTCACATTTTCTACGTCTACATGGGGTGAAATAGCCGAGGAACGCAGCAGACGCTGTGAGGTCAGCGCTCCTTTGCTACATCCATTAGAGGAATTCATGGAGCCAGTGGATCAACCTCTCCCGATTCGGATGATAGATTTGGGCAGACCTCAAAATGCCACCTCCCCAACCCCTGTGGCATGTAGCTGGCTACTGGATTACCCCAAAATCTTGACAAGTAATCTCTTCCGAGAATGGAAATGACTGGTACGACAACCACAGATTACCACAGGGAGCATTTTCGCACAGGGGTGCGGGGGTTTTTAACACAAGGGAAGAGCTGGGTCAAGCCCAGCATGCCTCAACAGACGCAAGAAGGCTAAGAAGGCCCAATGTAAGGTATTGGGTCTTGCAAGCGGAGTTGTGGCAGTTTTTTCCACGCTTCAAGGTTCGGGCATCTCAAGCCATGTTATGACGCAGTGGATTTTTTTGGGAGAGTCACGCAACCAAGATGAGCCCTAGGCTGAGGGACTATGAAGACGATCTTCACACAGGCGAGTGCATTGGGATACTGTGTGGTTGGAGTCTGCATCATGTTTAAACAGTCGAGGGCTTTGTGCTGGGTTGTAGGAGAGCATTCACCAAGCTCACGTATCGCTTGCGTCTTACAACGGGCTTTTCTTCGTGATCTTGCCTGAGTGAGTAGTACTCTGTTGTTCCTGTTTACAGTCTCTCCTTACTTCAACTGATGTTTTTCTTCTGGGCAGTACATTCCTTCGTTGACTGACCGAATTGTTCGCGTTGGACTAGATGTCCCTCTTTTCCACGTGAAGCCACACATCATCCCAAAACAGATCCGGCAGCAAAGCATGTATGATGCAAGTCTGACAAAGCCTGCAAACCTTGAGCTGTCGCCTCCAAAATCCAGATCTTAGACCTTGAATCCCAAGCTCAAAGCCAACCAACAACCAACTCAAACCCTATGTCCCAAAGTCCAAAACCTTGCATACATCCTAAACCACATCTACAATCCCTCATAGGCCTACGTCTGGAGAGTCCTGGCGCTGAGCTCGTCGTGGGCGCCTGCGACCCCGCAAAGGGCGGGCGCTTCGGTGCGAAGACGGAGATCATCTTGGCAGACCAGGAGAGGTTTTTAGGGCTTGAAGCTGTAAAGTGATAGTAATGGTAATAGTGATAGCAAGAGGAATAGTAATAATTAGTGATAGTCACACTGATAGTTATAGTTTTAATAACTGCAGATTTAGGGTTTGAGTTTCAAGGCCTTCTGGGAGGTTAGAATCCAATTTTGAGGGTTCAAGCTGTAAGTTGCAGCTGAATATTGGATTCAGGGCTTGGGATTTTGATTTTGGATGTAGGGTGTAAGTTTAGGATGGAAGGTATAGCGATCCGAGAGGCGCGAAGGTAGCACTCGGGATGTTGCGTTGACTTGGTGCAATACTTGACCTGCATCACGTCTGGAAAGATGGATTAGCTTGCGAAGACTCCGCGGGGTTTGCGTCCGGTTTTGATAAGGGTCATGTTCATTGTTATGGCATTGCCATGTAAGGGGCATCAGCACCACAAACCTCTGCAGTTGGAGTTGCCGAAAGGGTTTGTGTGAGTTCTCTGAGCTGAGCTGCATGGCTCGTTTGCCCCATGGTCCGGACAGAGAGAGAGAGAGAGATTTAGACGTTTGGTCATGGTTGACGTTTTGCAAAGCGCGATCCAATCCGGGTGAGGGAGCTTGGTTGGCATGAAGTCTCACAGCCGGCTGGAGCAAGGGGTATAGCAATCGAGAAGCTGGAGTGGATCATGTAGTTTAAGTACATTGGGTGGCTGCTTTTTGAATATATACCCTGTACAAGTACTCACTGGTCCCGACCAGAACAGACTGCGTGCCTTGGGGCTCGGAGCTTTGCTCCGGCTCACCCGTAAGGGGTGGGCGTAGCCCGCAGAAGAAGCAGAGATATAGCGAACCGGGGTGCGGCCAGGGGGTGTAACCCCCGCGGGCGTCCTTCAGGGCTCTCACATGGCCAGTAGAAGAAGAAGAGATATAGAGCGAAAGACAGAAAGAAAAAAAGATATATTTCCAAAACTCGAGCCGTCTGGGTACTGACCAAATTACGGTTGTTACTATATACCTATTCAAATTATTCCTGTTGAAACTATTACTATTCTAACGATCATTACTATTCTTACTGTTAGGAAAAATACTATCAACATGACTTGCCTACGTGGTGTAGCCTCGGGTGCACCCTGTGAGGGGTGCATGCAGCCTGCAGAAGAAGAACAAGGAAAGGAGATACAACTCGTTTTAAGGAGTTAATATCCCTTATAATAGTCGCTGTATAACTCCCCTGAGAGAGCTTAGACTAGAGCTCATATATATATATATATACATATACATATATATATATATACCTCTCGCTCTCTCTCTCTCTCTCTTTATGATAAATATACAGGTAGTCTCCAGGGTGGACATGAGGAATCATTCTTTGTTTGGGAACTTTGGTTTGCCGGCCCAGGGATGTAGCTAGGAAGTTTTTGATAGATTGCAGGACTGTGGATGACCCAGAGACTGTAGAAAAGGCTTCCAGTCAGACTGCGAATGTTTGTGGTAATCAAAGGTAAGCACAGCGACCGAGGGGGCGCATGCGGGGCACCCCTCTCATCCCCACGTAGCAAAGAGATATCAGGGAAGAATCGGGTTTTGCGGAGTTGAGAGCACGTTGGAGGCCTCACAACGTGTTAGACCTCTTCTTTAAACCTCTTTAGAAGGCTTCAATGGTAATTTGGGCACAGCTTGCGTTAGCTGCAGCATGTGTCCGGACCGCTGATACTTAAATTGCCAAGATGCACTAATGCCATCTCAGCACCATGGTCAGCACTTTCCATCTTCGCCATCATCAACAATGTCATGTTGTTGGTTTTGCTGGGGCTGCTGTTTGATGCAGATGCGACAGGTCCTGAGCGTTTTCCAGAAGATCCATGTCCTGCCGTACAAGGACTGGAAGCAAGCTACAGGGTTTTGTTCCAACTGGGTTGTTTGCAGTTTCCGCAGATACTGCATAGCTGCCAGTCCGGCAGCAGGAACGATAGTCATGATCAATTCAGGTAACTTAGCCGTTGACCTGATCGTTGGCGTCGACATTGTGAGGGCGTAGCGCTTTGTTCTGCTTGTGCTTGCTTGTGCCGAATGCATCTTTCTAGGTAGCATTTGCAACAAATAGCATTCATGTCGCGCATTCTCCTGCACGCATGGGCCAGGACACCTTCAAGTACAACTTCGACCACATGTACCACAACCACATTGTGCCGTACTTCCAGACGCAGCAGGTAGGTGAGTTCACCAAAGGCTTCGAGTTCTCCTATGAGTCCGTGAGGTTTCAAGTTGTGGGAGTCCAGCCAGAGGACTCCTACGGAGTTGTGGGGCACAGCACGGAGATCTTCTATGAAGGGCCTGAGATTGAGCGGAAGGTGCTCCAGCGCTTGCAGCTGCTTCCCTTTGAGGATGGTCTCCCGGAGAAGTACCGGCCCAACAAACTTTCCCTGGATGAGCCTGGCCTGCTGCGGGATTATGTGAAGCCCTACTTTGCCCAGCGTTCCGCAGACGTCCGTGCAGGGGATGTGCTACAGATACGAGAGCTGCGCTTCAAAGTTGTGGCCACTCGGCCATCGGAGGGGGGTGGTGTTGGTAAGGACACGGAGCTTGCTTGTCAGGGGGTGGCCCTGAGGGAGCACTTCAAGCCACAGCCTCGGGGTCAGCCTAAGGGCAAGGCCACTGCAAAGGCAGCTGCCAAGGCTGCGGCATCCTCGAGGCAAGATGACCAGGGAGGCCAGCAGTGCATCATTGCCTGAGGCAACTTGTACAAAATCGCCGAGGACAGCTGCGGAGCCGTTTGAAATGGACAATGGATGCGGCTAGTGCCAATCTTAATGATCCATGTACCAACGACCGGATATGCTTCCAAGGTCCCTGAACAAGTTCATGGCCTTTGAAAACAGAGATCCGTTCCAAGCCAAGCAGGCCGGACTTGAGCAATTGCAGCAGCCCAGCCGCCGGCAACAAAACCTGCCGCCAGGAGCAGATGGAGAATCCGAACTTCACCAGCTGGCACCGATGGTGTGCAGACCAGTACCTTAGGCCACCGCGCATTGCTTGGGGCTAGATGGGTTGGCAATGAATAAAACTTTGATAGGGCAGGTGACCTCATAACAAGTACTAATAGAGGATGAAGCCGCCCTTCCGCCTAAGGCCTCAGCTTGTGGGCAGTATGCAGTATACAGTTTCTCTTGGTACAGCAACGTGACCCCTGACTGCATGCTTCGATCGTGAACCCTCACCCCGAAGTAACCAGGCTCGCCATGGAGGAAGGGGAGGACATGGACGAAGGCCAGCCATGATGCCCCCAAGCAACCGGAGCCCAACGGATTTTAATGCAAAAGGGCCATGTCTTTCAGGATTTTGGATAAATTGCAGTAAGGCCAGGAAGGGCCTCATATAGAAACCTGAGAAATGCGAGATGGCTTTAGGGTTCAAGGCTTCGTGACTCCTGAAGGACTAATTAGAAAGGCGCACGATTGTGTCGAATTGAAAAGGTTTCGTGTCAGAAGTGACAAAAGAGCCATGGCGCGTTGGAAAGGCATTATTGGCGGTCTTCACCTGTTCACCTGTCCTGACTCAGTTCCGAATATCATTCATGGAATAGGCGTATCCAAGTCAACCCCGGGGTCGAAACCGAGGATGTGGCGAGGGAGAGAGAGAGAGAGAACTATATCCCTGAAAGAAGAGGAAGAGAGAAAGAGAGCGAGAGCGATTCGTTCTGCGTATAGCGCATAGAGAGGAAGAGATGTTCGACCTCTTCCTGTGTAAGTCAAGAGCAGCGTCTAAATCTGTTAACTTCTTTTCGTTGATGTGACCATAGTGTGTGCAGTCGCCATTACTAGTGCTAGCATTCTCACGAGCGTTTTGAACGGCGGATTCATGGGATGGCAGCCAGCAATTTCCGTTCCAAAAAAAAACTTCCTCGCGGGATCATGCATAGGCGGGTTTGGGTGCATTTCGTGTTGCATAGGAGTCGAGGGTCGAGGGTATAAAGGGGGCTCATATCTTCCGGGGCCAGTCTTAGATCCTGGGTGTAACACGCCCTATGACCAAGGTAGTAATAAAATGCGTGCAGGCAGCCTCAAATCCCCATATCCTTCACTCTTCTCACTCTTCAAGTTTTCGGGTGTTAAGTTCCTAGTTTCTGAAAATTGCATTAAAAGCAAATCCTCATCCGATCTGACTAAGACTAAGGCCAGGGTGATGGATAGCCATCTCCGTCGTTCTTGCAGCTTGGAGGAAGGTTCTGCAGACAGCGGGACCGCTAATCTCAGTCAATGGGGCCGTGTATACCTTGCGGGCGTGGGCTTGCATTTAAACTCGATTGTAAGCACCGGAAAACGGAGCCTGCTTTCTTCCTGGGGTAAGAGGGACTGAGTCGCAGGGACCCGTAGTCGCATGTCCTGATGTAGGTCTGGAGCTTGTACTCGTAGGTTAGTCTCTATCAAACCCCTATATCCTCCCGCATAAGCACTAGACTTCCCTGCGTTTCGTGAGAGGCCAAGCGGGTGGGAGAAAACGAGGGTCTCATTCGCCGGCCCTCCTTAACACCCTGGATGCGAGCCATTTGAGCAAAAATGCAAACAAGAACAATAGAACAGCACATATAGTGGAACTAATCATAGCCACACCCAGAGTTGTGGCGTTGAGTCGATCCTGGGCAGAATCTTTGAGACTGACAACGTGGTCAACTGCAAGATCTCCAGCATCCACGTTAAATGAGCAGCAACCAGCAATTGCTATTTCTAAAGGATGATGGCCATGAGGAGTGGGGATGACATCTCTGACGTGGTACCAAGTACTTATTGATGGCCTGATGGCCCTGTAGCTTTGCTGAGTGCTACCACCTTTTGAGCGGTTGGGAGTGAAAACGGGTATGACCATACGACAGGTGTAGATGTGGATTACATCCTTGTCATTGCTGGGATCCCTTGCCAGCAGGCCATGGGACTTCAAACTTTTAAGTAAGCCGCAAGAACCCAGGTCCTGGTGCCGCTTGAGCCCCGCTCTCTGGCGCCTCCTGTCCCCGACATGGTGATATGCCAAGACAATGTCCTGAGCGCTAAGATGATATCATTTAGTTGGTCGTTCATGTGGAGCAGATTCACTGTGCCCATTGTTTCTGGTAGTTTTGGCAGGGATTCGGGGCCTTAACTTGGCAAATGTCCATTTCATGATCCGAGGTGAGAGTGAGAGGTTTTTGTTCCGGCTAGCCTGGCAGCTAGGAGGTGTCTTTGTACATGACAATCTGCTCCATGCCTTGGTGGGTCCACTCTCGGGTCTTCCGTTTCAGCGAAAGTGACTGACTCCAGGTATCTTGCGACTTGGAGAACAAGACTTGTTTCCATGTGGGGACAGAGGTCTTGCTTGTGTCACCCCAACCCCTAACCCCTAAGACCTACCCCGATTGGAGCCCTTCAGGGCTGTCTCACACCTCGGAAACCTACACCCCCAGTGGCAAGCTCTGAAGCTTTGGGCCCAGAGCAGAGGAGGCAAAAATCACCAGGCACTATCCCGGTGACACTTTCCCGTGCCAAAGTCTTGTGCAGCCCTTTGGGTATGGACCTTTTGAACAACCCCACGAGCGGAGGGACCTGGAGCTTTCCATGTTGGGGGTGTAGCACAGCTCGCCATCTGCGGCACAGGATGGACGAGGCAGCTAATTACTGCAGACCTGCCAAAGTTGTAGTCTCCTGATTGCAGGTGGGCTGCGGCAGCAGAATTGCAAAACCTCGACATACCTGCAGGGTTGCTGTTGAGGTCCTAATCGCAGGACTCTGCATTCCATAGGGTGGGCCTTCATCGTTTCTGAGAAGTTGAACTGCAAACCCATTTAATCTTTGGGTGTAGCGGCTGCGAATGTCAACTGACGTCCCGCTGTGCCGTTGACGTGGTCTGCCGCTAAGCGAGGGAAGAGGGATCCGATCTTGCGGTTTTGCTAAGTCTAAGAGCATTCTGCTAGATTGGAACTGAAGGCGAAAGCAAATGTTGGGTTTGTTTACTTAGGGTTTCGTCATTGTTTCTCAGGGGAGGCGTCACCAAGAGGTTCTTTTTGTCAACTTGGAGTGTTTTTGGCAATTTGCTCGGCAAGGACCATCTGTAAACTCATGCAGCATTAGTCCATCAAGAGTCCTTGGTCTCGCCCTCATCATCGCCACATTGTAGGGCTTAGTAGGCGGCTATCACAGAACCATGGCATGTCCTTAGCTCGGAGCATCAAACGGTACGTGCTAGGGTCATCAGTTTGGCCGCGATCCCTCCTCCGATGGTTTGACTCCGGCCAAACTGGCCAAAATGCATGTTTTGATTGCAAAACAGCTTTCAAGTTCGGCATGCCTGGAGGCCTCTGTCCTTGTCGCAAGCGCTTGTATAGCAGAGGCATGGTAATCGCACGCTACAAGCTACTGTGCGATTTTATGCTCCTAGCCATGCAGCTTCAAAGCAGGAATCTGATAAGTAACCCGCAGAACTTTAACACAGCTGCTGATGTGCAAATTTTCTGAAATGTCAGCTTTCGCAGCTGGCTTCTGGATGCGCTAAATTGGAAGAAGCATGGCGCTCGCAGTGCCTGCAGCCAAGGCGGGTTTGGTTCTGACACTCGGCACATGCCAGCACCCTACCTCGGCACACGCCTTCTCTGTGCCTATCAATGAGAGCGATATGGCACTGGCAGCAATCCAAACTCTGAGCAGGGCTGGTGAGAAGTTGGGCTTTCAGCCCCAGGATGTTGTTGGCATTACAGCCTACAAGGGCCAACTCCTGCCTCAGCCACCTTCGCAGCGCTGTCCAGAGGAGCGCTGCTGCTGTGGGACTATGGGCACATCTCGAGGTCCAGAGGAGATTGCAAAGATGATGCAAGATCTCATGGAGGATGCAAGGCAGATTCAGGCAGGGCTCAGACCGCGAGCCACAGGCTTGCTGCACATCCTTCCGAGAAAGGACCTCACAGTACAACCTGCTTTGCGCAGCACGGGGTGCACCCAAGCTGCTGATGCTGTCGCTCGCCCGGAAGCCATAACTTCCATCTTCTCACAGACTGAAGTTAGCCGGCCACTGGACAAACACGAGCTGCAGCTTCGCAAGAAGTCTCCCAGAAGCCTTCGTCAAGATGCACAAGGCCTCTGGACAGCTCTGGAAAAGTCAAAGGTGTACATTCCTCCAGTACCAGATGACGCACCCACATCCCGTGACCGGTTTCATCTAGAACGGCATGGGCATGGCAGGGGCAACACGAAGAGCACCAAGAAGAGGAGAAAACGAGAGGATCGCGAGAGCCTCTGCCGGCAGCCAAGTGTCTTATCTTCTCCAGTGATCCTGAAAAACTTTTAATTCCATGACTGCTTGTCTTCTGTTGCTGAGGTCGCTTGATCCTGCACCTGGAGCAGGTCGCACTTGAAAACGGTGTGTCTCCTCCACCCCGAGACCATGGCAGTAACTCTGTGGCCCCAGGGTCAGAGGAGGACTCTGAAGGCCCTCTTCCCTAAAGCCTTGGGGGCTCAGAGACATCGTGGACGGCTTCGCCCGAGGATCGAGGTGTCCTCCCTGGGTCAGCGCCTCAGGTGTGTTTGACAAAGAACTACACTTTGTGTGTCCCGATCCCACCAACATTAAGCATGAGATTTGCATCTAAGTCCCCAATAAGAAGGTGTATGCTGGTAGCTGACCATTTCGGCTCGCTTTGAATCTTCTGCCGTAGACAGCGCCTTCAGAGCTCGTCTTGATCGAAGATAGGCTTAGAGGTGAGGCCGCAGGCCCTGATGGCAAAGCAGCAGAGCAACAGCCCAGCCATGTACTATAATCCAAAACTGTTGCAAACATAGCGGGAGGGTGGTGCTGTAACATGGTACCGTACTGAGAGGAAAAATGCTGCAAGCTTTAGGGTAGGAAAGCAGTATCACGTCTGCCGCATGGGCGACGACCCATCAGACTCCTTCACCTTGCTCGCGCTTTTGGTTCTTGTTCTGGGGTTGCTCGGCTGAGATCAGGTACCTAGTACGCCGTGCACAGGTGTCTCAGGAGGGACATGGCAATTCAGAAGAAGTGGGGGGTCCAACACCTGCATGCAACGCTGCAAAATGTCCTTTTCAAGTGCAGGCTTCCCCGAACAGCTTGGCATCTTCAAGTGCCATTAGTTTTGAAATTGGTTTGGTGGTGCGTGATGAGATCGCATCGACGCCTAATATGGGCATGCCGCGTTGTCACAATTCCGCTTTTTTGACGCCTTTGTCGGTATCCCACGTTGACGGCGGGCGTATCATTTAGCGCACGAAAGGGTAGTTTAACCCTGCGGCCTGTATTCGTGCCAGGGAGGATGCGGGTAATTGCAGGCCAGGTACCTTGGGCCTTCGGGGGCATTTATCTAAAGGCCGAGAAGCCATGTTGAAATGCCTGCGCTTGAACACTCATGAATTTACTCACCGCAGTCAACGTGAAAAATCCTAAGGGCCATGAATACCAAGAAGGAAGATAAGCACGAATGCTAGAGAGTGTCCGTTTGCAAACTAGGCTGGGCCGGCCTTGTACACACCAACAGCCTAGTGTCTTGAGCTAAGAAGACCAAACAGCAATGATGCTGACTGGCTTAGGGATCTGTAAGGGTCACGCGGGAATCTTTAAATTCCTTCTGCAGGATCATAGGCTGATGGTAGCAATCGACGTGAGATATATGGTCACGGTCTCGTGATACGGTATGCAGTGTGGTAACATTTATTACGACATGAGAAATTTCAAAGTTTTTGTCCAACTTATACATCCTGTCATGTCTAGTCCCTATCAAGCACTACATGAACCCATGGTTCTGAAGCGCCGTCATCGTCGCGGCATAGTCCACACAGCAAGACCCTGCCTGTGTGTTTCCATTTCTCTGACCCTAGATTCCTGCCTAATTACTCCACCTCTTATTCCTCAAGCCGGGAGGCTTTCATCATTCATGAAACTCTAAAACCTCAGCCTCCCAGAATCCCATTTCTCCCGCTTCAGGCTCTTCCTTGGTGGCAGGCTGCTCCTTCCGCCCAACAGGCCTGATCATATGCGGCACTTTAGAATGTAAAGGGGTTTCTCAAAGCTCTTCCGTCCCCCTATTGGAGTGCCATTACTTGACAATCCACCAGCTCGGTTGGGCTAGATTTTCTGCCAGGGCCTGAGCAAGAAAGTATAGGCGGTAATCACTGGTTCAGTGTGGTGATCTAGGGAGTTTGGATCAGGCGCCTTCATTTGAGCCAGTCATGAATCCCACGTGGTGGGCTCAACATGCGGATCCTTAGTTTTGGAGAATGGGATACCAAAGTCAATGCGCTCAGATTTAGTTACTTTGCTAGCCTGGCATTGATGCAGGAGACTTCTTCGACAAGCCTCAGCAGGATATTGGAAACTCCGGGAACGCAAAAATCTGTGCTTGGAAAGCACCTGAAACTCCAGCAGGACAGCCCTGAGAATCAGTACAGTACCTGCTACGATTCACTTGAATTACCCTCTTCGCACTTATTCTCCAAGACGTGTAGTTCTTCAGAGCCCCAACACCCAATGTTTTTGTGTAGGTTTTATGTTGTGCTTGTTCATAGTTTATCGAAGTCGACATGTGCCTTGGATATGGGCATATATACGTATTCAGAGAGGGACGCTGTGGGGCCCCCATTTTTGCGTAGGTGTGATTTTTAGTTTTACACACTGCAATGAGTCCTGATAGGTTCCTAGCAAGTAGTACGATGAGGAGAGGGGGATAAGGAGGCTCATGAGGTTGAGGAAGGGCATGGGCAATCAGGAGTCTCCTAGGGAGGCAGAGTGAAGGAACAAGCATCATTACAGAGACAAAGTGAGGAGGAATCACTCTCATGTCAAGGATGGAGAGCTAGGTTTCCCAGAGGAGCTGCACTTTTTATGGGTGGGCCTCCAATAAAAGCAATGGGTCCCAGCGTGGAAGGCTTTGCATGAGTGGTGGTGAGACTTATGTGGGACTGCCTGTGTTGAAATGAAAAAATCGGTTCTTCCATAGATGTAACCTCTGCACACACCCGATCCCAGCGTCCCACCCTCTACGTATTAGCTGGGGAGCTGGGAGTATCTCTTATGTAGAACCCTGAAGAAGGGCCCACAGAAAGCCCCTTACAACCCTAAACCCTATATAACCCGTTATAGTAGTTTCCATGTTCTTTTCCATTCCTTCCTTCCCAGCAACCCCAGAATTCCTCCCATAGGGCCCCTCCCCCCTTTTCCCACCAGGTCAGAGAAGAAGCCCTGCCCCGGCGGATCAGAGCAGACCACCAGTCGGTTCTTGGCCACCTCCTCCGAGATGCCACAGGCAGCGGGAAGGGTATTGGGGATATATAGGGATAATGGAAAAGAGAATAGAAACTACAGGGATTATAGGGATATATGCATAATGGAAAAAAGATGGAAACTACTATTTAGGTTTTAGGGTGGGGGGAAGCAGAGGCAATGAAGGAGACAGACAGGGCAACAAGGTTCCCATGTACGATCAGGTATGCATCCGTGCGTATAAGGGCGGTCTCAGTACACCTATGCAAGGGGAATTTATGTGCTGCGGCCCTCTGGTGACTCTGGACTCTGGTGCCTTATGGTCAGTTGAAGGGGTAGCGGCTTCTTAACACAGGGTAGCTGTGAATCAAAATTCTAAGCCAAAGATGGCAAGGCTTCAGAATGATGCCCACTTCACCATGCCAGTGTCGCGCTTCGCCTTCCTTTGAGCATGATGCTCAATCACGTTTTCATTTAAACTCGACCTACGTTGCCATATTCTATCAGTCACTTGCCTGCTTGTTCAGGCTGGCTACAGGCCCGACCCGGGGACGGCTGAAGTGGTGCCGAAACAGAATGCCTCAGCGCCCGTGCTTCTGGGCTGATGTTGCGCTACATGACACCTACCATGGCTTCCAAGTGTTTTCGGGGACAGTTGAAGCGGGTGTGTTTTAAAAGCTGGTTCCGAAGCATGCACTAGGGCTACCCAACAGCATCTAATGCCAAGAGACCGGCACTGAATTGTAGAGGTCAAAGTCTTTGCATCGATACCGGCTCACTCCCAGCGACTTGCTCACTGGCTCCGAACAGGCCATTCCCGAAACTGGTGAGGGCGCGTTATCTGGTGTGTGGGAAGTGCAGACCACGGAGGATGCCTCAGCATTGTTGGCCGGCTGCCCTCTGGAGATGGTGATCGCCTGCAGCTTCCAAAGGGCCTACGCCCCTCACATGCTGGCGCAGCAGGAGGTCATCCGAAGATTGGCAGAGGCCCAACCAGCCGGCATGGCCTTTGCCTCAGTGGACCTGCAGGCCTCCCCAGCTGTTGCTGATTGGGCAGGTGTGCGCGAGCCAGAGGTTAGGCTGCTGCAGCCGGATGGCTCTGTGCTTGGAAGGCTAAGTCCTCAGGAGGTCAAGGCCGGAGCATTGGTAAAGATAGCTTTGGAGAAGGCCAAGGATCTGGCCAAGCAGGCAGAGCAGAAGCTCGACGCTCTCTCTGAGCGCTTTCCCAATGCTTTGCATAGCAAGCTCGGCATCTGCCTTCCACGCGACAGCTGTGAGAAGATGCAGCAGAATGCCCGTGAGGTGGTTGAGAAAATGTATGGCAATGACAGCCCAGAGGCAGACATGGTGGAGGCCTTGTGCCAGAGCACTCAGAAGGGCAATGTGCCTAGACCGCGCCTCATAGCAGGGCTGGCAAAGATGATCTTGCAGTCTCATTTAGAACCGTTTTCCACTTGGTGCTAGTTGCTGCGTAGCAGCTCCAAAGGCAGACCATAACACACCAAGAAAAGCGTTACAAATACTGCCGTGAAGACTGTAGGATTCGGGCGGCGGAGGACGCCAAGTCCACGGTGCCCTTCTTGGACCTGGCACGCCGCCTGGCAGGCTTGAATCCGGGACGCCAAGCATTAGATTTTCTGATTGATGCGGGTGACTGATGATGCTCACTTGGTAAGAGGGGACTGGAACACAAAAATGAAAGCTACCATCTCATATACGTTTTGGACTTGCGTGCTGGTTTCCCGCTGCTTTTAACTTGTATTCTCGGACGTTGAGTTGCTTGCGCGCCTGCTCTTGACCTCCTCATCAGAGATGCAGGGCCAAAGCGCATTGATTTATCTTCATCTCTTCACGTCATCCTAAGACATAAAGATCGATCCGAGGAAACTCTGCGGTGGAGCTGAGCCTGGCGCCCAGGAGGCCTGGGTTGGGTGACCTTTTTGGGGACCTTTGAATGGGAATTCCATAGGTTTCGAGGGGTAGACAGGGTTATAAGAAGGGATATAGGGGTTATATACTTAAGTGTAAGGGTGACCTTATTTGTGGAACCGCTTGCCTCGATTCTGGATTTGTGCGTCTTGCAACGCAAACGAACGTGGAACCCTAAAAGCCTTAAGCCCTGTGGAACCTGAACCCTTAGCCCGATGCATCCTTGGGCCCCACGAACTCTACCGTTCAATATGATAGTTTCCAAGGGGACCCCAGTATACCCCCAAATGTTGTAGTCAGTCCCAAGAAGGTACCCCTAATTTTGAAAAATTCTAATTCCTATAAATTCAATTTCCATTTGATATTTCATTTTTTCCATTTGACTCTCCATTCTTGGGGAAATATCCCTATACACGATATACCCCCCTATAGGAACCCTACATACAGTAAGACCCATATCATATCTGATCAACGAATATTTAGGCCCCCACGCAGCCACTGAGTAGGCTCTTGAGCTGCTGTTGGATTCCAGCCTCTGCAGAGTCGACTCCGAGAGTCCAGGACCCTTCCATGGGGGATGTAGGGGTTCTTTAGGGGGTTAGAAAGGGATGATATAGGGATAATATGGGGATCATATAATTGGGACTACATAGGGATTATACGGGGATTACGTAGGGGTTATACAGGGATAATTATACAGGGATAATGAAAAAGAAAATCCAAACTACCATTTAGGTTTGAGGGTCTCCAACAATTCGAGGTACCATTTGGGGGTCCCAATAAGAAGGGTTAAATTGCATTGGGGTCCGCCCGCTTTTCCTGGAAGGCTACCATACAGAGAATGTTTAGGCTTGGAGCAGAGGGATGTCTAGGGTTTGGGGCTGGGGCTTAAAGATTAGGCTTCAGCGTTTTCGTGCGACTCATACATGCGCTCCCGTTTTGAAACAGACCTCCCGCGTAGGAAAATTACTGAAAGGGGAAAATCAACAGTCATGGTTTCAGAAGCAGCAGGAAAAGACATGCGTTAGAATGACGTCCGTGGACGCTCAACCCCTAAACCGTAGCCTGGAACGGTCAACTCCTAAACTTTAGAACTAGACCCTCCGCGCGAAGTCCCCAGGACCCTGCTTGATGCTGGCGCTACAGCTTCTGGCTAACTGCTTCCACCAGTCCTCACTGACAGAAGCCTTGCTTCCGGTGGTGGCCCAGGTAGTTCAGGCCGACTTTCACCACACTTCAAGAAGCCGCCTCCTCCTCCTTCGCCTTCTACTGTATTTTGTTCTACTATGCTGCTTCTACTTCTGCTGCCACTATTAATAGAAGTACTAGTTCAAATACGGGTTGTGGCGCCACAGCCACAGAAGCTGCAGCTACTGGCAAGGCTACTGCCACAAAGACTACAGCAGCCATCGAAGTATGCTGAAGTCAAGTTTTATGGCAAAGGAATAATTGCTACAACTAATGGCAACATGAGCGGCGGCACTCTCAACACCACCATCTGTCAAGGCTACCACTATCCGTCTGAGCATATGTTGTTGGCCGTTTTGGCCATGGTTACTGGTTTTGATTTGTATGTAGAGGAAGCAGCTTGGTGATTTTTGAGCAGGATTGCCAACATGTCTATAAGGGATACCCTTGTAGCACTTCACATCCCCAGGGTACCCAAGGGTAGCCTACCTTGCCCTAGCCCCTTCACTTCAGGCACCCGCCTGGACGGTCTTATGGTCTGCAGCAACAGGTGCTAACCAGAGCCACCTGGATAAAGCGCGTGATGCGGCTGCCACTATGCTACTGAACGCATCCGTTGTGCTGAGAGAGGCGAGGCTGCGAGCGTCGCATGGCCCCCTCTTAGAGCATTCCGTCGTTGCTTTGAGGCGGTGCCCAAGTGATCAGGCACTGAATTGGACAGTTGGGAATTTGTTGGCCATGGGCGGAGGAGTTGATGAGGCTAAGGCTGTGCTTCAGGCACAGCCACAGACGCCGCTGCGACTGCTTGCAGCTGCTGTCTTCAATGACCAGCTCAGTGGACCAGACAATGCGGCATTCCCATCAGCATGGCATCCTCCTTCTTCTGGTTCTACGGCTCCTGCGCATGACCAGGCTGAAAGGAGACGCCCGGCTCGAGCCCCCATACCAGCACGGCATCGTGGACGGCGTGGAGGAGGCTGAGGTTAGCTCCACGTGGAGGCCCCCGCCAGCTTTGCAGGTCTTTGGGCTTGTGAAGGCAGGCTCACGCTGTGAGGGCTCGCATATCACTTGCACCCTCTCAGCACTTCCTGCCTGATTGCCCAAAGCTCGACCTTCATTGCTCAGGGTCCTTTGACTTGCCCAAAATGTTGGAAGGCATCAGAACCGCATGTACAGTACCATGGCCATGCAGAGATGCTTTCAGACTGCCGCCGAAAGACAGCAAAACAGGCCCCAAGTTTCTGCAAGCTTGTTGGCCGAAGCTGGTCTTAAGCAGTAACAAACGTCCATCCGCGATCACAACCCTGCAAGTCAGCATTCGAAGTGTAGACACCTTGCAGCCTCTTCCGGCTTGACGCTCAGCTGAGGCAAGCATCGCGTACTGTCAAGAGTCGCAGAATCCGACAAGATCTCGGCCTTTCTCACCCCAGCATCACAGTGACAGTGGTGGGCAGTGTGGTGGAAATTGTGCGGCTGATCAACCAGAAGCATTGTCGAAGATATTGCCACAAAAAATAAAAGCAGCCGAGTCAGAGCTTCGCGTGCAATGCAGCCTTGCTTTGTGTGAGCAAATGACATGTTACCAGCTCTGGACAGCAGCAGGCCCAAATTTTGAATGTCAGGGTGTGGCAGTAGGTGCGGGCGCTCTGGCGCACTCTCTTGGAGTGGTGCTTTGGCCAGACCCTTGGGAGCAAGTGTCTTAGCCAGGCCTCTGACAATGCCTCAGTCCCTCCCCGCGGACTAAGGCGCCCGTGAGCCATGAAAATCACGCTGAAGTATGAGGCCACAGCTCTCCTGGTATTCATCTACATGTCTGACCTTGGGCTGTCAATATAATCCATTTCTTTCCCTGTTGAAGGAAGCTGGTACAGAGGACAGTCGCAGTCACGCTTTTGCATTGTCTTCTTGCGCACCGTTGGCATTACATCTGCGCATGCTCAGCTTGCGGCGGGGCTGGCAGGACCTTTATATGACGCTGCGGCTAACTCTGCCGCAGAAGTATGTCAACGGAACAAACAAAGAGGCAGGCTTGCGAACTCACTTTTGGCCTGGTGCGCAGGTTCCGTGACAACTACTTTTGCATCGACTGCAAGAATCTACCAATTACTTACAAGCACTCTGATGTTGTATAGTAGCTGTCAAGACGGGCTTGTTGCGCGCATTCGATGGGAGGTGGTCAAGCTTTTTGTTGACCACTACAACAAGACTCTCGCCTGCAACTAGTTCCCCAGCCTCACACCAGAGACACCTGCCATGCACAGCTGGCCACGCTTGGCATAGCTAAGGAAACATGCTGAGACTCCGCTTTCAATGGAGGAACTGCACCTCAAAATTGTTCATGGCCCAGCCCATTGCCAACAAGAAAAAGATGTCAGTTGCGTTTGCGAGTGAGGTTGGTGGGGTTCACCTTGATAATGAAGAAAGAGTGCGTGACTCTTTGTCGCCCAGGCCTCACGTGAACCTTAAGGCTGCACGCTCTTGCCATATGCGGCTTCACCCCTCTAAGGAATGGCGATGAGTGCTACCTCCTAGGCAAAGACTCAGATGGGCAGCAGCCTTGGGAATTTGAGAAGTCAAAGTGGGGGTTTCGAAAGCTGTTAGCGAAGGCCTGCGCCCAAGAGGCCAGAGGTCGAGAAGGCCAAGCCCATGTCCGTTCTGGACCCCAGGAAGCTACAATCCTGCAGGGGGCCATTGCAGATGTATGCGGATGCGGTTCATCATGGTTCATCCAACATGACTAGGTACTATGTCATGTGGCTAAAATCCGTTATGCTAATCATCCGGCCCCTCTTTAGCGACGCAAACCCACCTTGGCGTGTTGCAGGGCTACCACTGCACTCCAGCGGCTCCCAAAGATGCTGCAGAAAAAAAGGCCGGGAATTGAGCACATGTAGGCTCGGGTTGACTGTGGGCATGATGTAGAGTCTGGTGGATACGAAAGTTATTGAAGCCGCATAAGCAACCATCACAACATATCACAACACATTGACAATGCATTGTGAGATGCAGATTGGATTTATGAGGGCCAGTAGGAAGAGCTTTGCAGCTTATCACATGCAACACGCAGTACGGCAACGGGGGGTCAGGCTTGCCAACGGGCCTCTGAATCATTCCGTGCTCTTTGGCGGTTTAAGTGCTGAACTGCTGTGCGTGAAGGGGGAAGCGGCTGTGGGGGGGGGGGGGGGGNNCGGCCCAAAAAAGCTGCGCGCCAGGTTGTGAAAAACGAAGATGGGAAAGTCAGGTTGGCAGCCTAACTGAGTTGAATTGCAGCTCCTAGTAGCCTGACGAAGTTCCGGTGCATCAGGTGTAAGAATTTCGGCTGCCAGAAATTTTTTGATCCAGATGGGCACGGCACTCATGAACTGTCGAGATGTGAGGAAGTTTGGAACTTTCGCTGTTTAGGCCGCCGCAAGAATGCTTGCACCACAAGGTTGGGACAGCAAACCTTGCCAGGCAGTGCCAAGTAAATTGGAGCTGAGGCGGCTCCGATCTTTCATGAGACAGCGAAATGGTGGCCGGACCCTGAAACGTGGAACGCAGGCAGTCTTGCGCATGTGAGGCGGCGTTGCTTCAACACTTTGGCAATTCAAGGTCATGCTGCCCAGACCGCAAGGCCTACGAATTCGATGAGCGGCGCCCTCAACATGTGCATGTGAATATGTTTTGTGAGATACTGTTGTTTAGATGCTCCGGTGTCTAAGGTTCATGAGGATACCGGGTTGCACCCAGGCTGGCGGCCAAGTTTCTTGCTCGGTGCACGAAATTGTGGAGTGTCAGCGGCAAAGGACAAGTTTCTCTTGCCATATGAGCAGAGATCAAAACCC